CAGAACCGCCCGGTATTTTAATTTTCCGTTTTCCATTTTCCATTTCGCCCGTTCGCATTTTCATAAATCCAGCTTCAGCGCTCCTTAGCCCCATTACCAATTAGTCCGAATGCCATCGCTGCCAAGGTCAATGGCCCGGACTGGATGGCCAGAAACGGGATAAGGATCGGGATAGGGAAGGGGAACGAGGATGGGGTTAGGGATAAGGACGTAATGGCGGCCGACAGGGAGTCCTGCTCCATGGCCATTAGGCGTGCGCTGCAGGCTTAATTAATCATGGCTAAGTGAGTCCGGGACGCAAAAAAAAAACTATTAGACATAAATGTGATTTTCCGTTGCTTTTTCGTTTATCGCTTTCTTTGCGTTTTCCTATCCAGTCTGCTTTTGTCAGCGTTTCCGGCTAGTTGCTATGCACTGAGAAAAATCAACTGGAGTTAATTTAATCCCTTTCCAAATATATAAACATTTATTTTAAAATTATAAGCTACACCCTTTTTAATTTTCAGTGCTTATATGTATTTAAAATATTTTTAATTTGATTTAATATTCATGTTAGAACAAAATTGTTTAGCCTGTAGAAGGCAGTGGAGGACAGCGCACAAATTACTTAAAGATAGATAGAGCGACCGGATGAGGTGAAGGATGTGGCTGGAGTCAAGGGGCGGTGGGCGGTGGACGGAGGTCGGAGGTCGGGGCAACGACGCGTTATTTCCGTTTCCGGTCCAGCATTCAACACTCGCATCGAGGCGCATTGAGTGATGAAGTTTCAGAGGCTTCTGCCCCTGTCCCTTACCCTAACCCTGTCTTTCCTCCACGCCACGCCCCTGTGACTCTGGCCCCAAAGCCGGCCCCTTTTGGCCTGGCCTATTCCCCAGCATAATCATTTTTTTGTTATCCTCTTTGGCTATCGCCACCTTTTCCCCCTTTTTTGCACCCAGCGTCGTTGGTCGGGCCAAGTGATAAAATGTTTTATGTGCTCGAGTGTCTGATAACAATAAATAACGCCATCAGGACGAAAAAGGACCCGAAAGGGGGTGTCGCTTGGCATGTAAACAAATTGGTGTTGAAGGCATTTAGCCCTTTGTTGGGCCGGAGTTCTGTGGCCAGTCGGTTTGTTTAGGCCTCGCAGCTCGACCCCATCGCTTGATGAATTGTAATCAGCCTTAAATTGGCAACAAGGCCAAGGACAAGAGGGCCAAAAGGGCTTGTCGTATTAATCATCGAACTTTGAATGGCCCGAAACTGATTTGATTAGTTGGCAAAATATGTTTGAACAGCCCACGCAACAGTTTGGGCCAAAAATCGATTTTCGTTCGATGATTAAAACTGGAAAAGTGGGGGGCTAAAAACGATGCTAACAATTTTATAATGCCAGCGGATATGGGAGACACAAAAGTGGCCATTTTGACATTTGATCTCAAAGGATATTTGTAAATGAAAAATAAATAATTCGATTTAGTGAATTTACTTTGATAATAGTATTTGGATAGTAATCAAATTCAGAGAGTTTAAACTAATTAAAACGGTATTTATAACGTCTCCGGGCTGCTGTTTTAATTTCTGCAACAACATTTGCATATCCGATGTCTGTGCATAATTAAAGCGGAAGGACAAACAAATAATTTCATATTAATTTATTAGCATTTTCATTAGGGCCGCACTTAAATTGCTTTGATTTTTTCCATTATTTTTTACGCCACTCCGAACTCAATAAACGCATAATTGAATAATTATGAACAGCGAAAAAAGATTTAATGAGGGGCCATGAATTATGCAGGAGGCTCTGATGTTTTATGGCTCTTCCTGTATAGTAAAGATCTGGCTAGATTTGCAAATACATATATATAGGAGTAACATATACTTATATATATTGGCTGCCTGAGGCATGATTTTCCAAGGCGAAAATCCCAAAAACAATAAAAGCTCACACACGGTCATTTTTAATTTGGTTATGCATCGCTTCGTTTTCAGCTTTTTGAAACGTGAAAATGGAAAAAATGGCGAAATGGGGAAATGGGAAAACGAGAAAATGTGTGTGAAATGGACAAATGAAAACGCGGGGCGGAAAACGCACACCGAACGCTTTTAATTATGTTGATTTTTCGCTGATTTAATTTTTACCTGCGTTCGTTAAGTTTGCAGCACAAACCAAATGGAATTTAATTTAATCCTTTCGCCCAAAAAAAACACCTCCTTTTTGTGTTTTTTGTTTCTCTTTTTTTTTTTTGTTTAAACTGACCGACCAGCAAAGGCAACCGAAAGGCAAACGAGGGGAAAAAGGAAAGCCAAATTATAAAAGCGCTTTGGCCAACGAATTTTTCCAGCTCCCCCGGAAAAAATACTTCAAAAGCGTCTATTCAAATGCCAAACGCTGATAACGGAAATGGCGGGCGGCGCTAGGAACGGGGAAAGAGGTTATTTCAGGGCACGTTTTGGTTAATGTTACACCATTTTGGTTTAATTACTTTTTGGCTTTTGAACTGCAAGAACTGCACTCCTTTTTTCGCCCACTCCCTCAGCCACTTTCAAACAGCTTAATTAAACACGGCGAACTGGAGCCGGACTCTCTACATTCCCGATCTCGGGCGATTGTTCGCCGATAATTTAATAATTGCATCGGGCTGATAAGCCGATTCGGCAGCATTATGCAGCTTCAACCGCATTTGAGCACATTATTTACCTAGCGAGTTTGGCTTTTGATTTCATTTTGGTCGCCTGCATAATCCGCATTATATGTTAAGTTCTTAAATTTTCACTTTTCGTATTAAAGCGATTCGCACCCAGAACTTCCTGTTTTTACAAATATTTAAAAATAAAGAATTTAAAGCAGGAATGCTCGTCGATGTTCGTCTTGCTGCAGAACATTAACTAACCCAAATACAAGAAAGCGCGCCATGTTTAGTGATGCTTTTCTGTTGGTTTGCAGCTCTGCACTGAGAGAAAGAAATCACCTAATTTTTGCTAACCTATTCATCATCACTCATTTTAACACTCACGTCGATGGTCCACTGAAAAATAAACTCTAAAGTATAAATACCTAGTAAATTCCAGTGAATGATCGAAGAAAAAAACATGAACAAAATGTATTGCAGTTGGCGACGGAATGAGGCGGAAAGAGGTAACCGAAAAATTGTTGGCGGAATAACAAGGAGTTCGAGGATGATCGAAGAAGAAACACGAACAGTTAGCGACGGAATAAGACGGGAAGGGGAAAATGAAAAATGGTTGGTGGAATAGGAAGGAGTTCGAGTGTGATCCAGGAAGAAACAAAAATAAAATGTATCGCAGTCGGCGACGGAATGATGTGGAACGTGCAAAACGAAAAATTGTTGGTGGATTAGCAAGGAGTTCCAGGATGATCGAAGAAGAAACAAGAACAGTTAGCGACGGAATGAGGCGAGAAGGGGAAAATGAAAATTTTTTGCTGGAATAGCGAAGCGAGCACTCAAAGCTTATGGGAAAGCCCATACGGAGAAAGCCCATACAGGAGCTACAAGCTTATTTCGTGCAGGAACAAACCAAAATTTAAATTTGACACCGATACTAAACTAGCAGAGATATCAAAAAAATTTAAACGCAGTAATGTTAAGAATGTCGCATATTATTAAAATAATAACAAAAGTTTACTAATTTAAAAAAACAAAAGCAAAATAGGGCAATTCTGACGCACAAGCTTATTTCGTGCAAGCACTTTAACGGTAAATAACTCTAAACTACGACTTTTAAATCCATTTTTAAACCCGTTCCTCGTAGAATAAAAAGGTATTCTAGTTTCGTTCGAAAAGTATGTAACAGGTAGAAGGAAGCGTTTCCGACCCTATAAAGTATAGATGTATATTCTTGATCAGGATCAATAGCGAAGTCGATTATGCCACGTCCGTCTGTCCGTATGAACGCTGAGATCTCAGGAACTATAAAAGATACAAAGTTGAGATTAACTATGAAAATTCTTGAGGTCCCTACGCAGCGCAAGTTTATTTCCGCATCATGCCACGCCCACTCTAAAGCCCACGAAAACTAAAATCGCTGAAATCTCAGGAACTATTACAGCTAGAAAGCTTGAGAGCTTGAAATTCAGTACGTATAATCTTTAGATGCCAGCGCATCTTATAGTGGTACTATTATCCGGCCACACCCACCCTTACGCCCATTAAGCTCAAAAGAGCTTATCTCGGTAACTATAAGAGATAGAAAGTTCGGATTAAGCATGTAGATTTTTTTGATGCTCCAAATGTGAATCAAGCCACGCCCACTCTAACGCCCACAACACCCGAAAAACCAAAAATGCAAAAATTTTGGAAACTATAAGAGCTACAAAGTTGTGCTTAAGAATACGTATTAAAGAGATGCCACTGCAGCATGCCACGGTTTCATCCGGCCACGCCCACTCTAACGCCCACAAACCGCGGACAACTGTGGCGTCTATAATATTATTATGAATGCCTTTGTTTGACCTTGTATAACTTATTTCTGTTAATATCTATGCCTTATTGGGAGAATGACATAAAATTCCGGTGGAAACCACAAACAAAATTGGTCGAGTCCTTTACAAATAGTTTAAAAGTCGTCAAGAAACATAATGGAGGTCAAACCAATTATTAAAATTAGGAATTAAGAAAGTTACAGTAGCTTTTACAGCTCGCACGAAATAAGCTTGTGGCTCAGAATTGCCTTATTTTTTAGATTTTGTATGAAAAGTTCTTTTGTTTTTTAAATTAGTAAAAACTTTTGTTATTATTTTATTAAAATATGCGACATTCTTAACATTACTGCGTTTAAATTTTTTTGATATCTCTGCTAGTTTAGTAGCGGTGTCAAATTTAAATTTTGGTTTATTCTTGCACGAAATAAGCTTGGAGCCACTGTATATAGAGCGCATTTACAAAAACAAATGAGCACTCAGAGCATAGGCGCTGAGCACGCTTGATTTAAAGTATACAAATTACATGTACGTATAATGGGGTATTACTTTAGCTGATATTAATTCAACTTGCAACACATTTAAATATATACACATCGTTCTCTTTATTAGTTATAAATTGCCATACAAAACATCTGACAGATCCTATAAGGATTCGGCCATGACATATACACCTATACACATACATATATATATTTACTCGTACATAGCTAGATTGGTCTTAAATTTCACGCGCACAGTACATTTGTATTAAAGCTCTAGGGGATTACATTGAGGGGGCAAGGGAAGGACTCTTAATGGCTAAACAGAACACCCGGAAGTAAGTGAATTATTGTACCGCCTCGGGGGCGCAAACTTATCACATCTTATCACAAAAAACTGGTCTATCTATTACGAAAAGAAATCGAAAGTGGGATATAAATGTACAGGCTTGTATCTGATATATCATGTTCATTACTAAATAATATTATTAAGCATTCACTTTAAAGCTAACAACATTGCAAGCCCAATTCTCGATTCGAGGGAAAAACCTTTACCGTGCCAACTTTCAATGATTAAATAAAGTATTTCATTATTTTATGTGATAATTATGTCCAATATTTGTATGAATAAATTGTCTAGAAATATACAGTTGTGCTCAAAAAAAAAGGTTAAGTGATTTAAGCTGGCCACCGAAAATATTGCAAACTGGCTTAATAACTTTGTGGAACAGAGTAAAAAGAATGTTATTTCTGATAGGTCCCAGCAGTTCTTTTGAAAATGCAAGTTTTAAATAAGTAATATTTTCGGTCTCTGCTAAAAACACTCAAGTAATAGATATTTTAAAGTTAATTATAACTTGAAATGAATTTCATATTGCACAGCTTCGATTGCTTTTTGTCTTTAAAACGTTTTCGTTAAAATTTTTAACACTCTACTACTTATTTTGGAACACTCTACAAAGACATTGCGTTCGGCTTAACTTTTGAAAGGTCACAGATAAAAGCCTTTATTACATTAAAAACGCAAGGCGGTTTGAATTTAGTCGTTTTTGGTTTGAAAATGAGGACGTGGCCGAGTCGTTCAGGTTCTCGTCTCCTCGTAGCCACAGTGAATATACCCAGTTTCCAGGGAGCCGCCGACCGCAGCCGACTTGCTAGGCAGATCCTTCCTAACATTCTGCTGCTGATCCTTGTGGACGCTATTCACGCCATTCGTGCCATTCGTGCCATTCGTCTCGCAACTATCGAGGATTCGCTCGAAAACGGTCTCGAAACGACAGCGACTTAGCGAAAAGCGAGCCACATCCACGCACAGATCTCGAAGGATGGCAAAGAGTTCCGAGAGGAGCGGAGCATCGCCCAGGGTACCGGGTGATCGGATCCTTACAAGGAATCTCAAACTGTGCGCATAATGCTGCAAATCCCGCGTACCCGGCAATCGTTGACTCAAGCTCCTTGATAACAACGCCTGCTGGGCGGGGCCGCAGAAACAGGTGACGGCATAGTAGCCACCATGCTCCGACTTAAGTCGTTCCGGACTATCGCTGGCAACGACCTGACCCGCTCGGAGCACCGCCACCCTTTGGCACAGATGCTCGATCTCTGAGACCGAATGGGAGGTCAGCACCACAGCTCGACGAGCCAGTAGCAGTTGCTCAATGGTGGCGTAGACCATGTCGCGGGTGACGGGATCCATGTCGCTCGTCGGTTCGTCCATCAAAACAGTTGGCGTGCAGCCACAACACGTCACAGCCACCGTAAGCTTTCGCCTGTTGCCGCCACTCAGGTTCTTTACCTGGATGTCCTTGTAGGGCCGCAGTTCGTACGTGTCCAGCACGCGGTCCAAAAACTGATCCAGATCGCGAATGCCACGCAGGCGTCCGTAGAAGCGGATACACTCGCTCGTCGTGAGCAGCGGGTCCAGCGGATTGCTCTGCGGGCAATACGAGACGCCAGGCTGGAAAACCAAGTTCAAGTTAGAATATAAGAATATACATTTTAAAATTATTTATTCCATGCTATCAAATATAAAAAACATTTGCCATTTGTTAAGAAGTTAAATATTAAAATGTTTAATTATTGTTTTCCAGACGCTTGATGTTCTCTCTTAATAAACATCCTTCATAGAAAAGCGCTCCCTTAAAGTTAATAAGAAAAACTCACCTGCTCGAAGTATATGCTTCCCACGTTGGGCTGTAGCTGCCCGGTGAGCAGCTTGAAGATGGTGGACTTGCCGGCCCCATTCTTGCCCAGCAATCCGAAGCACTCGCCCCTCTGGACACTAAAGTGGACCTGGCGTACCGCATAACGGCCTCGACGATAGGCCAGCCAGAGATTCTCCGCCCGCACCGCCTCACCGGCAGATACACAGCTCTTGAAGATGCTCTGGATATTGACCAGCTTCAGCTGGCCCAGTTTGTCAAGTTCCCGGCGATAGGTGCAGTCCAGCATTCGTTCCACACGCTGCCACAAGCGCCGCAGCAGGTGCCATTCGATGAGGACGTTGAGTATCAAGGCGGCCACGCCCACCAGCAACAGGGCAGTGAAATGGCGTCCGAGCAGGTCACTGGCCAGAGGATGCTTATAGGAGTCAATGTCGTAGCGACGGAACACCAAAGCCACCATGTAATTTTTGCACAACTCCAAGAAGCCATCGCCCAGGGCATGAATGGGAAAGATGAGGAAGGCCTGGTTGAGGGCGTGGCGCCAACTATCCCACGCTGGACCATCGCCCACTACGCCCAGGATGAGAATTATGCCCATGGTGACCAGCGGAATGATGAGGTTGGCACAGAAGATCGACACAATGGCAATGCTGGAGTCGCTGAAGATCTTCTCGGCAACATGGACAGCCGGAACACAGGCAAAGCTATGGAATAAATGCAATATAAATATTAGTTGCCAGGCCATCGTCCTCGTTAGGACTCACCTAAAGGCTAGCGACAGTCCAATGATGCCCACCAACTGCTGGCGGTCCACAAAGACAGGCATTCCAAACATCAGCACCACGGCCAGACACACAATCAGTCCCAGGACCATCACCAAGTAATCCCAGACAAAGGCCACCAGCCAATAGGTAACAGCACTCACTCCGCACAACCTCTGCTGCAGTTTCTCCCCATTGACACGTTCGTTAACTAGGTAAACGGATCCGGCGGCCACCACCAAGCCAAAAGCTATCAGCAGGATAAAGACCATGGATCCGTCACCCGCCTGACGGAGGATAGAACTGGTACTTAGTTCGGCATAGCCCAATTTCCATGGTTCGTTCAGCGTAAGAATATTGTACTCCGAGTCGTTCAAAGTGGTGCGTAGTAGCTCCGAGTTGAGATCGTTTAGCCAGGCCACCATGGAGTGGTAGCCCTTATTGTTGTACCAGACAGTAGCGCCGGAGCCATTTAGTCCATAGCCGCCGTATCGCCGTTCGCGGTACTCGTCCCAAGAGTTCAGGACCCAATCGTAAGCCTTTTCGGAGCCGTTGAACTCCATGCACTCGCCCAGTTCTTCGCAAGAGGTTCTTAGCTGAGGATACATCTTCTCGGAGAAGCTTGTAGCCTTCTCCTGCGACAAGAACTGAGCAGATTTCGGATACAGCGACCGACTCAAAGGCAGGACAGTGTCGAAGTCATCCTCCAGACGATAGCTGACGAACCACATGGCGCACAGCTCGAAAAGAGCTGGGAGCAGGAGGACATAGAGCAGAAGACGGTAGTTACGGGACAGGTGCTTGAGTCGCTTGCCCATCAGGAGACGGAACTGCTGGCATCCAGTTGGTGGTTCATCGGTAATCATTGCAGGCCCTGCAACCACTCCACTCCGATCGCTGGCAGATCGTCGGGGCGCTGTCTCCTCGCCATTCCTGTTCAACTGCTCGAACTCCTGCTCCAAGCTAGAGCTACTGGTGAGTTCAACATCACTAATGCTGCCAGCTGCCTCTTGGGATTGCAGCAGTTCGAGGAATTCGACGGCTCCTGGTGTTAGATGCTCTGCATAGCTGGCACTGATAGTCAGGCTGTGAGGATGATCCGCCACTCCCGAGTGCAGCACCTGACTATGGGGCAGGAGCTGCTGTGCCTTCTGGACAATGAAGGTCACTCCAGTGGCATCGGCACAACGCATTCGAATGCTGTAGTTGGAGGTGCACAGATGCTGCAGGGAATCGCGGCTGTGCTGGGCGATAATGCGTCCCTAGAATTGTATGAACACAAGATGAAGATGATCATATCAATAAAATACCAGAAGAAAGTGAAAAAAGTTCAAAAACAATATGGGGTCAATTCAAGAACAATATTCTAAAATTGTAAATATCATTGTTGAAAACTTAGTTTTGATCGTTTTCTGATTGAATCTCAAAAACCGTTCGAAATTGAAGCTGGGATGTTTAAGTTTCACCTAAAAGTTTAGTTAAAGGTCCTAATGGGACGTACAAAATTCTTCTCTCACTATTTTCGATAGCTTTAATATACCAAATCGATATCATATATAACAAGAAGACTCGCTATAGTCGAGTGCCGCGATTATAAGATACCCGTTACTGTTTTACACAAAATTCCCCAAGCGCCACCTATTGTCGGAGAAAGCATGACGAGTAACTGATAGTGACTGCTCATGTGAGGCCTTATAAACTTAAATTCTTCATAAGTAGCGAAATAATGTTCCGATTTGAAAAATCTTTGGTAAATGGATAGATATTAACAGAAATAAGTTACACAAGGTCAAACGAAGGCATTTAAAATAATTATAGACGCCACAGTTTTCCGCGGTTTGTGGGCGTTAGAGTGGGCGTGGCCGGTTGAAAACTAGGGGCAAGTTGCAGTGGCATCTTTTAAATACGTATTCTTAAGCACAACTTTCTAGCTCTTATAGTTCCCGAAATTTTCGCATTTTTGATTTTTGTGATTTGTGGGCGTTAGAGTAAGCGTAGCAGGATGCGGAAAGAAACTTGCGCTGCGTATGGACCTCAAAAATCTTCATGCTTAATCTCAACTTCCTAACTCTTATTGTTCCTGGGATCTCAGCGTTCGTACGGACGGACGTACGGACAAACGGACGGACAAGGCTCAATCGACTCCGTATTGATCCTGATCAAGAATATATATACTTTATAGGGCCCGAAACGATTCCTTTTATATGTTACATATTTTTCAACGAATATAGTATACCCTTTAACTCTACGAGTAACGGGTATAAAAATGTGGCAACTCTGTACGGTCATATGAAAGTATGAATGAAGGTCTTATTAGTTAAATATTTAGACAAGAAGGATCACTATAGTCGATTACCGCGACAGATACCCATTACTCTATTAGCCAATTTCAAAATAATTTTCTTAACAAAACTAAAATGACTAAAATGGCCGTTTTGTGGGCGTTAAAGTAGATAATTTCAGATGATTAAACAACCTTGAGCTGCGCAGACATGCTTATTCCAAATTTTTTACGTCATTAAGGACTCGAAATTCCTCCGTTCATAGGAAAAGACTAACAAGCGGAAGGGCAGACTCTCATTGGTAAGTCGTCAGGGCGATCCTGATTAAGAATAGATAAATATATGTACATTCATAAATATGTACATAGTAACCAAATGTAACCAAACTGTATGTTAGGAAAGCTTTCCTCTACTTCTAAGATACTTTTCAACGATTCTACAAGTAATCGGTGAAACAACAGTCAACCTAATTCTAACAGCTTATTCACAAATTATAAAATCTTATGGTTATCATATCCAATACTTACATTTCTCATTATCACCAACGAGTCACTCAGATACTTGGCTTCGTCCAGAAAGTGGGTGGCAAAGATGACGGCCCTCCCCTGACGTAGTCGCTCGATTAGTTGCCAGATGTCCTTCCTGGCCTTGGCATCTACGCCGTTGCAGGGCTCATCCAGGATGACTACACTGGGTGAGGCAATAAAGGCGATGGCCACGCACAGGCGTCGTCGGTAGCCACCAGAGAGCTGCCATGAGGGATAGGACTCGTGCTGGCCGAAGTTAAGACTCTGCAGTGTTCGTGCCACCTCCGAGCGGATCTCTTCGGCACCACCACTCTCGCCTGGCGGCATTTTGATCTGGGCATACAGTTGCAAGTGCTCACGGGCCGTCAACGTGGGTATAAGGATATTGTCCTGCCAACAGACGCCCACCTGGTGCTCTCCAGCCAACAAGACCTTGCCGCTGCTCTGCCGAATTTGCCCGGTAAGCAGCTTGATCACCGTGCTCTTTCCAGCTCCATTTCGGCCCAGAAGACAGCTCACCTGGTTGCGGGCAAAGTCCAGGCTCAAGTTCGAAACGGCGCACTTGCTGCCATAAAGTTTGGTTACATTAACCAGCGAGGCGCCCAGCTTGTCGTCCAACTGCGAACGACTGACCTTCACAAAGCTATAGTTATCTGGAAAATCGGAAAATTGTTAGATTAAAATTGATATTAACCCGTAAACTGCTTACTCCTCTTGAAACGCTGATAGGCCAGGCCAATGACCGCATATAGCAGGAAGTCGAGAAGGAACATGAGTAGCGCCATGGCGCACTCGCTCCTCGCAGGGCCAACCTGGATGAGGTGGCCCAGGGTCAGACCCTCTTGCTGAAGCTCCATGCGCATCAGCTCGCCCCAGCCTTTGGCAAAGGCCGTGGTGAAGGAAAGATCCACTAGGAAGCTCTCGAACACACTCAACTTGGCATCGAACATCAACACAATGATAAAGGGACACAGGCTGATGAAGAACAATAGAGCCGAGGCCACTGCACCAATGTTCGCGGAATTGAAGAAGTTGGAGCACATGTAACTGTGGGTTAGGTTAAAGATTTAGACCACTCATATGTGGTGTAATAATCAAAGTACCCACCAGAATGAAATCAAACAAACGCCGAAGCACAGGCAGTAGAACATCATGAAAACCCAATTGGTATAGCCCAGGATGCCGCCACTGTAGAGAACCGCGCTGATCAGCACGAAGATCGCACTGAGCTCCATAAAACTCATAAGAGCCCAGGCCACCAGCTCGGAATGTGCCTTCAGACCCATCGATCGCATCAACTATGGATGATGATGGTAATAATTTGATCTTAAATCTCCTTAATATATAGTGTCTTTTTAAACTTATTGGTAATCCTTATTAAACTGATTAAAAGTCATTACTTGAAATCTGTCTGAATATTTTCCGACGTATCAGTTAAATGAGAGGAAACTATATATTCCTTATATTATGTCATCGTATCAGCGAAACACAATTAACATCATAATAACACTTTCAGCTCACCATGCTATTTCGGCTCTCCCTCATCCAGATCCGCTCCCTCACACAAAGGGCCACAAAGACCACCAGACCGAGTAGATAGGCCACCTGAACACCCTGGGCCAAGTACAAACCACGTTTAAATCTAAAAATAAAAACAGTGTTAAAATTAAGAAAACAGGAAAGTAAGTGCCACTTACACATCGTTAACAAAGGCGGGATAGGGAAACTGTTTCGTGTAGAACTGCATGTTGTCCACTTCGAATTTGCTCTTCTTACTGGCATCCCCCGATCCACCAAATCCTCCGAGTAAGTCAAACAGACCCTGACGCTTTGTTCGTTTCAGAACATCGTCATCGTTGAGCAGCAGGAGATCGGGCTCACCATTAGCCACTGTTCGTTCTGAAGTGACCTTCTCTTCTTCGGTGGTGACCTCCTCTTCATCCTCTTTAGGTGAAGGAGGAATTGTCGTGGCCTCCTGATCATCCACAGATGGTGGAACCTTTTTAGTGGCCTGTTCTGCGCCGCCTTCTTCTAGACTGAGGTCTAAATCATCGTCATCCTCATCGGAGATGTCATCGTCCACTTGCTTGATACTAAATAGACCACTCAAGGATCGACCACTCTCAGGGTTCTCCTCCTCTGGCGGGAAGCCAGCCTCTTCACGTTTGCTCTTGATAATTCCCAGGTCCACCATCTGCTTCAGCTGAACGAAACCACGATGATACTTAAGATCAATGACCATACTGTCGGCTGGTCCCGGGAACCAGAACCTATTCCGATTCTCAAAAGTCGGTTGCGTATTATCCGTATCCATGTGCAGGCGGTAGGATGACTGTTTGAGAGCCACATCCTCCAGATTCAGGGCGGCCAAAAACATCTTGTTCTGATTCAGTTCGTAGGCTCTCCTTTGCAGTTCCTCCACGCTTTCAACGGCCTCGAAGCGATCTGCCGACACACAATCCATCAGATCCGCCACAGTGGTAAGAATGTCATATATCAATTGGTTCGTGCGAATATATTGGAACACCCGCTCGATTTCTTCGATATCGAAGTCATCGCCAACCAAACTTTTCACCAGCGGGGATTTGGCCAGCTTGAGTAGGCTGTCAAAAGCCTCCTGGAACGTGGTATTTGTGTGCAGTTTGGTGAGAATAGTGGCTGCTGCTCGGGAAAGTTGTTTCAGCTTGTCCAGTTCCTCAAAGGAGGCATTACTCTGCGATGGAAAATTACATATTAAAGGTTGCCGTAAGGGGTTTCCTTGTCTAAGAACATACAAACTTCATCACGCTTTCAGTAACAGCATTTGCGGGGGTGTAGAGAATCCTTCCTTGGATTATAGGCTTGATGGTATTCCAGGTGAGCTTGCCTTGGTTCGTGGAAGTTACATCCCGGTACAGGCGTTTGCAGTATTTGGCTAGGATTATGAATAGTTAGTAATATACAATATAAGTAGGATAAACTGTTGTGGGGTCTAGGCATTTATTTATAGATTCCCCGAATCATAGTTTATCATAGAAGCAATGTTAGCCACAGCCCTAGAAGTATCAGAGACCCATCAAGCACTTTTAACCCAAACTTAAGAGATAGGAAAGCCAATTATAGTCAGATTGAGAAAGCTTTTAAAACATAAAGATCTGTAAAAAGATCATGCTCACTTGGCCTCCAGTCCGTGGGGAGATTTTCGGATCGACGACGACGACGGTCTGGAGGCAGAGCAAGGTTGGAAATTTGCAGTTTCTGGGAATTTGATGGATGGGTTCCCCATCTATAGCGGGTTAAACTTACTTGGCATGGCATCGAGCTCCGCGTCGTTGGTCTGGCTAAAGTCCTCAGACTCTAGGATTTCATTGACCAGGGGTATAGTATCGGTGTTAGGAAACGGATGACCACACAACAGAACTCCCAGCTTAACGAAGGTCTCGCGATCTACCAGAGGAATCAGTTGGGGATTATCAAGGGGGTTATCAGGGGTTTAATTTTGAACATACTCGAAAACAGATGCTTAATGTCGAAACTGTAGTTCATCCGTCGTTCGATTTCGGGCACCAGGGATATAATTTCACTTATGTTACCTTTAACAGAAAGAAGAAAGAGTTGTAAATGAATAACACTTGGATTACATTAGGTCACCTTCAAAAAGTTAAAGTTATTCCACTTAGAAAGCGGGTCTCAAGAAGCTAGTTATCAGCTCGTTAAGAAGGGATCACGGTTACCTCTAATTGCACTTTATGATTAGCTGACTTTGGTTGCCACTTACATATGTGGTATAATCATGAGGCACTACTACTTACTTCGTATAATGTCGAGTCTATCACTGGTGATCAATGTGGTTATGGCCGACACAAAGTTGGCCTTCTCGGCGAGCTCCACAACGGCCTTGTGGAGCCGGTCATCAGTCACGAAGGCGTTGACGACGTCAATTACAGAGTGCAGGCTAGAATAGAAGGGTTAGTAGCTAGTAACTGCTTAAGTTAGGAGGAGAAGATGATCTTACGGTGCCTCCTTCCAATGTGAGTACTCCTCGTAAGGATGGGACGGCTGGCAGCGGTTCTCAATACTGCAGATGTAGGAGAAGGCGGCAGGAACGACCTGGTTCTTGGTGGGCAGTAGTCGAGTGGGATACTGGCAGGCCTCCATATCCTCGGATCCGTACTTCAGACGGATCAAGTAGAGCAGCATGAAGATCATCACTGGCCAGGCAAACAGGACCAGGCTGAGGCCCTTCTGGCGCCATCGCACTAGCAAATCCTTGCGCAACAGCTCCCGGACCTCGCGACCATTCAGGTGCATCCTCATGTCGGCTGACCTCTCCGTTTCCTTTCACAATTCCCACTGGCGATCGCTGTTTCGACTCGATCACTCGGGCATTTTCGTCGTCTAAACAGAGAAAATCAAAAGCACTGTCAATTTTCAACATACTTCCTCATATCCAGCTATAATCCAAAAACATATCAAAAATTAAAACCAAATTCAAACTGAAATAAAGAAGACCCTTTCACCGGAATGTAAAGGTGACAAGTGAAAGTACTTCGTTGATAAATAATCAAAGGCACATTTAGTTTGTAAATTTATAAAAAATTTACAACAAATATTTATGAAGAAAATCTAAACTTTTCTTGAGGTTAAGCTAATACTAATAACTATCAACTATAACATTGTAAAACCAACCAGCTTTGGTGATATTCCCCCCCTCCATTTGGCGGCGGAAGAGAGTCGGGTGTTAATTGCGGAGACAGATGGGATCGCATCTCTACGGATATCGCTTCCCCAACATAATTAACCCCTGTTTGCTTTGTTAAACGCCTTAACGCCGTTTGCCGCGCTGCTAATTCAGGCTGCTTAGTGGTTCGCCTTGTCGGCAAAAATGTTTCCCGGTGGCAATCGAAGAGCCCCTTAACCCTCTTCAGCACCCGATGCCGGTGAATTCCATTTGTTGACAATTATTTTAAAAGCGTGCTTTTGTAATTTCAATTAAATTATTCAGCTGATAGCTCTGAGTCACTGACTGGCCAACCAGGCAAAACAGCTATGCTGACAGTCAATCAGTTAAAACACAACTGTGGAGACTAAGTAAAAGTTAGTAATTTCCGTTGTTTTAGGCATATAAGGATTGAGGATAATCTTAAATAGGCATGTCTATACTGAGAAGAATGTGCTTATTTATGAAAATTAAAAGCATAGCTCATTGGGTACCTTTCACATCCTACATTCTTCAATTCTTAATCAAAAATCTATACATCATCAACCCTACATTGAAATATATGAATAGAGATATACAGCCCTGCCTCGTTGAGATCACGATTCAAATCGTAATTTTGGGTCACCTTTCTGCAAGCCATAACAAACTATGATCAAACCATTATCTTCAAAATCAAACTCCAATTTTTAAAGTTATGGAATAATGGTAATCATCTAATCAGTCTCCAAAAATCTCAACTAAACTTCCTTAGTATTTTTTACAGAATTAATTTGCGTGCTTAAGAGGTGCCAATGTGCCCCGTCCAAGGTTTAGGCCCTCGTAAAACTGCAAGATCGTCCAAAGAGTTATGGCCCGAACAGGAGCTTGACGTGGCCGAGGTGAAGGTGCTCGAGATTGTAATGGAGTTATGGCGCCCAGCTGTCCATTTGAGTCAAGTTGAGTTGAGCTGATGAAAGATGAGCCGCGTCCATTACCCACCAGGCAATTGGCTGGACGATTTATGACCCGGACAATGTCGAACTTCGCAAAACCAGTTACAAATCAAATAGACGCACAGCCAGGCAATAAAAGAGCGTTTATTCTTGATTTTTTGTTTGGTATGCAAAGCTCGGCCTGTGACTTTTGATGAACGCCACCCGCTGATCTTGCCAAGATGCCAATCAACTCCGTCTCGATTGAATGTGTATGTACATTCTGTATATATATCTATCTATATAGTTATGTACGTATTACGCGCCGGTGTGAGCACTCTGACTTATGACTTTTGCCTGGGGACTTCAATCAAAGTGGGAAAATCTCGAGGGGCGAGACAAAAGAATATTAAGACGTGTGGAAATATAAACAGAAACTGAAATCTGGCTCAGGGTACTTTGACTTTTAATAAGCTGGCTAGCACATTGCTAGAACTTGCTTTGGCTATTAAGACATCAATAAAACATACAGCCTCATCACCCTGAGAGTGAAATAATCTAAGCAATATATATGCAAAGATCTTTCAAAAATACTTTCTAAACCGTAATAACAACTTTTCAAGGCAGTTCTGGGCAAACACAAAAAATCGCGATGCTCCAATTATTTTTTGCAATCTATCTATTAATCTTGCAGTCATTATCTCCTCTGAGTTAATCATCACAACAAACTAATCTATTCTATGTCGAAAATCCTGATTTATTATTGGTCATTATGTTTAAATCCACTCGATTAAGTTGAACTAAAGTCATTATGTTCCTTGGCAATACTCTAAAAATACTCAATTCTCATCAGCAAGTGGAAATTTCTTTATTCTTACTAAAAGAATCCTTTACATATTAAACTAATTTAATTACATTAGAATACCTTTAAAAGTTAAATTGCAAAAGAGTAATAGTTTCAATTGGCTAGTGCCATTTGAAGACAAAACCTAAAGCTAATAACTTATTTTTGGTTAATTATAGTAATGCCCTGATTAAGTATGTATCTTAAATAGTTCAACAACAATACCAATAAAGAGTTTTCGCAATAAGTTTAACAATTAAATTAGTTTCTAAACACACCAATTGAGAAGCCAGGCCGACCGGCAACTCGTTTGGCAAAGCCTATGGAACCAGATTTAGCAAACTACCAGATTTAGTTCCAGTTCCAAATCCACTTTCAGTCGCATTTGCTGATTAGTCAATGGCCTGTAGCATAATGTTGCAGTCGAGCCAATGTCATCACCAGCGGGGATTATCTAATACTTGATTGATCCCCGGCTAATGTTGCGTGAACCGATCGCTCCAGTTTCCCGCCGCTGGAAAACTGGGCCATACTATATACTCGTCTATATAGTATAACTGGAGTATATATGGTTATTTGCAAGCGGCTTATCAGCTCCGTTACCGCTTGGCAAATCGCTTGGGAATTTTCAGCTGATAATTGCAAGGTAGCTTGGGCATTATGCAGAGTGAGAAGTGAAGAACTGCAGTGGCTTCAATTAGCAGGTGAATCCACCCACAACTCTGCCGCTCCATTCGAGTTCAAGGAAGATATACGTCGACGGTCTAATGCAAATGTGTTAATGCCTGCGATTCCAGTGGCAATTAGACACTCGCGGCACGTAGGTACTCCCCCTCTTAGTAACCAGTACCAGTACCAGCTACTAACCAGTGGGTATTAAGACTTCACCACCCCACCATCCCGCCCCACAACCAGGCAGTAATAACCAGATGTTTTTCGCGTACTTTTCAGGTACCTGCAAACCGAAACTAATACCCGCTTTTGGGCTAATTAAAATAAAGCGAAAATAAGCTGCGAATCTGATGCAGTTGCAAAACGGGATTTCGTGGCGTTGCCAAGATCCGCCCGCCCCTTTATATCAAAACTCGTTTAGATCACGTTCAGTTACTAAAGATGCAAATGAATTCCTGGAATTACCCCAGCCAGCAGCACTTAATCGAATGCTCGTTCTAAGTCTCCATCGTCATGGAGATGCCTCCTGTCCCCTTTGATTAAAAGGTGTTTTATAACAACGCCAGTATAGACTTGTTACAGGTTTAGACTTGAAATATTCGATTGGGAGCCAGACGGCTAGCATCTTTAATCATCCACCTCGTTGAAAGTCAAAACAAAGAATCTCGAAACTTTATAATTGTAATTCTTTTAATGAATATCTATTTAGTTGTTAGGAAACTTTAACAACTGTTTTTATGAATTACATTCCACAGCTATTTCGATGTGCAAAGTTTATTCCATTTGCCTATGCAACACAGCTGGCCTCTACTGACTGACTGACTGACAGACGCACTAATTCAGGCGGGAACTTGACCCACCTCTCTGAAAACCACTGGCAACTGAGCCAACAGACACAGAAAACAAATTTAACTTCTTCTTGACTAATTGAGAATGTTATTTATTCAATTTGTTCACCTATAAATTCATACTGCACTGCTCATTTTAGCCTACAAACACAACAAACTAATCTAATATATAGAACAAGAATCTAGAATTTCTCCCTGTGCCTCCGAATCGCAATCAGCATTAACATAAAACTCCGCCAGACGACTGCCGACTCGAGTGGATTCTAGCCACAATTTATCATCGATCTATTGGCTATCTCGGATCTCAGCGCGACCTTGACCATGAATCTTCACTAATCGCTAAAACTAGCAAGTAGCGCTAACGAAACGAAATAGTGGTATCAAAGTAAATATAAATAAGGCGAAACTAGTTTGTCGGCTGGTCGTCACCGTGATCCCCTCACCCTTTGAATGGCCGTGTGTAGTGCAGTTTGTTTCGATGATTATCCCACTTAAATTTTACATGAAAATCTTTTAGTACTTATCCCCCCAGCACCGCCCTTTCTAACCAGGCAAGCTGTTTAAGTCGCGTGTGGCTAAGCGTTTAAAATCGCACGCGTTTTGCTGGGTTTATAGTGCAATTTTTGCATCGATTTATTTTAACTGCATTCCATCTCATAAATAAATTTATTTTAATTTTTCGTATTTAATTCACATATTTCCTCGTTTTTTCTTTGTATTTATGGAACAATTTATATGCCAATTTCTTGATTTAATTAAATGTTATTTACCTTAGCTAAATATATTCAAGATTAATTGAGAGCAATGTTTACGTTTTGCTGGACCAACTGTTCTGTGAATTTAAAGGTGTCTTAGTTTTTATCCTATTTATACCTCATTAGCCCAAGAATGAAACGACAAAATTGGCATTACTTCCGCTTGGAAATAGGTAATCGACTTAAAAATACTTCCTCCTTAAAGAAAGAGTAACTTAAAATAAAATAATAATATTGAATTAGATGCAACGGCAGTTTCTCTCCCACTGACAAAAACGCGATTGCCGGCAGTGAAGCGTTTAAAAACGTACGCGTTTTCCTGCTCAGACTTCTGATTTTTCAATTTTAGATTTCAGATAGACAGCTTTCCGATACAACTTCAACTTCAAACTTGGGATCGTGTCGAATCACAATGAATCGAATAACCCGATCAACCGATCAGCGTGAGTCGGCAAGAACCGGCGCAGACTTGGCTATAATTATCTTTCCAGTCGCATGTAGATTCTGGCGCATATTTTATTTATAAAACCCATTCGGCTGGCCATAGGAAATGCTGCTCACTTTTTATTTATTTATTTATTTATACGCCACTATACGGCCACTTGTTGCTTTTTAGCTTTTTAAGCCTGATCAGCAGCCAGCAAGGTCGCTGCTTACATGTGCAAAAACTTGCAATGCAATTAAGTCTGGATAAATAACCAGTCTGATAATAGCACTCAGGGCCTTTGGAAGCGGTATGCTAAAAGATTTTATGGTAATGCCGGCGATAATCGCCAGACGCTCAGAAAACGGAAGGCGAGCTAAGAATTCTAACTAAGCGTCTTGCCAATTTAGTTCTTTATTTAATATCCTGGCTATGCAAGCGAGTCACAAACTATTCTTGGTACTTAATTGCTTTAAGTGCTAAATTTATATCTTATATGGCCAGAATATGTATGTTCTGTCATATCAAAAAATTATAAATGTGCATATATCCAAGTTGTAAATTTAACTTTAACTATGCTACATAATTCTATCTTTATAGTTTATATATAAAATCATTTTATATTCATTATTTTTAAACGTTACCCAACAATTTTTATAAAGTTATCAAATAATGATCTAAGTGCCTCTGAGATGCTAATGCATCTTGAGTTTATTCCTTACCCCCTCTGATTTCACATGGCTAATTGTTAGAAATCTCACACTTCGAGCTTTTCTAACATTTAAACTTTAGATTCGATAGCCGTCGGAAAATCCATGACGAATGCCCTCCAGGGGGGAATTGTCCGTATAACATTCGCGCGTGTTAATTACTTGGATATGCATATTACAGCCATCAAAATATGGCTAAGAACCCTGCTTTCAACACACCAAAACAATACATTTAAGAATTATGTATTTTAAAGTTAAGTAAGTTGTTAATAATAATAAAAGACAGTTTTGGTTTCTTCTACCTGCTCTAAAAAGATGGATTCTTTAAAGCCTTTTTTCTGTGGAATCCACAATCTCGAAATAGTACAAATTTTAAATATTTAATAAATGTGCTTTACAAATTTTCTTTTTTTAACAACTTATTATAATTAAGGGTATTTGTACTTCCTATTATTTTTGTTTTTTCTTTTGCGTTTTCACTTTCATCGCTTGTTGGCGTTGCTTTTGCCACCTCTTTTTGTGCTGCCATTTGGCGTTTAACTACATAAATTTACAACTTTTGTTGTTGTTGTTCGGTTAAATATAGCTTTTCGTATGGACAATTTGTCCAACGTTTTGTTTTGCTCCGCACCTTTTGTTTTGGGCAGCCCTTTTTTCGAACAGCATTACTAACGACAGCAACGTCAAAAAACGTGCCAAGAAACCTCAAAAACCAGAAACGTCAGATACCAAACGAAACCCCAAAACCTACACTGAAAGAAACTGCAATCGACTCGAGTTTCATTCATTTTAAATGCTATGTTTGCTAAGTAAAGATCAGATTTTCAAAATTTTAAAATGTTTTATTGGATGTCTTAGTCTTTGATAAGTATAAAATAGCTAAACTAATCAATTTCGATCGACTTGCGAGATGTTTTAAATTAAATTTTTGTTAAATTTGTTATATTTTAAAGATTTGCAGTACCAACATACAGCTTTGGCGAAAATAATAACACTTTTTAACATAAAAAATGGCAAGAAGTTTGACACAAATAAATTTACATTTATGATTTATAAAATTACAGTTATTATGTTGAAAATATACATATTTCTGCATTGTTTAATAAAAATACAATTATATTTAAATATTTAAAACTTTTTATGTAAAAGTATAGATAAATACAGGGTTATAAAGATTTTCTTTAAGATTCTATTTTATATTTGGTAAAGTCTTTGGTATATATTTTATCTTACATATAGCGGTATATGCATAGATCCTACATATTAGTAAATTACTAATACTGTCCCCTGCCGTATTAACATATCTATTTTTTTAATATGTGATCATTTTTTACAGTGTAACGATATTGAAAGCGACAGCGATTGAAAACAGCTGTTGCTGCTTCGATTTTGCAAGTTGCTGCACTGCCAAAATAAATATTTGGGAAGGTGGTAAAAACAGACTAAAAAAACAAAAGACAAAAACAGAGAACAGGAAAAAATGTTGACTTACTGACCCCTCAAAACGTGTTGTTGTTGTCGCTTCTGCTTCTTGTTCTTCCTCTTCTTCTTTGATTTTTCTTTTGGTCTTTTTCGCTGCCAAAGGTTTTTCGGTCACTGCAATTGTTAACTTCACACACCGTCTTTTGTTTTCGTTTTTTGTTTTCTTTCAGACACTTTAGTCTTCACTTCTTGTGCCGCTTTTCTCGCTGCTGCCCTCTCGTTCGCACAGTTAGCACAGTTAAAAAAAATATCGAAGAAGATTTCGGTTTAGTTCGACTTCTTTTAGTACAAGAAATGCCGCCTGAGACGTCCGCCAACAAAGCTGGCCGCAATTGAACTGAGCTTGACTAAACGCGCTTACGGAAAATTATTTAATTCCGCTCCCAGCTTACCGGCGGCGCCGCCGCTGCTGCCGACGTCAAAGCAACGATCGTCGACGGCGATCGCCAACTTCCAACTTCGTTGTTGTTGCGTGTGGGCGGCAACATGTTGCTCCCGGCTACCAGTCGTCGCACCAGCAACATGTTGCCCTCTTCGTTCATAGGCGTACGCGAGGGGTTCGAACTTGTTTCCATAAGAAAACGTCAGAACTGACTTACGAAACGTGATTCCTAAAACCAACCTTTTTTCTTGATTTTAAAATAAAAGTTCATCCAAAGAAGTCCCAGTTTTATAGTTTTGCTTAATTTAGGATGACATTTAGTAGTACCAAAATCGCGTTCATAATTCCATTTAAATCAAGTTAGGTTAGTTTGAACTTTAATTTACGGTTCGAAAGTTCAACCCCGTCGAAAAAATTCTCCTATACCTCCCTGATCTTAACTGTTCTTTTGTTTCCCGGTGTGCGTGACACGCAGCAAAAGCAGAAATGGATTTAATAAGCCCGTCTTTTCGGGAAGTACTAATTGCAGCCCTGGGCCATCGGACAACTGTACTTATATCCAATGAAATGCCAAAAATACAGACGAGGCCCTTCCCGAAACGCTGGATCCGTGAATTAGTGCCAATTTTGAGAGTCAGTCGGCCGTGTAAAGAGGGCTATAACGCTCGCACTTTGTACCTGGACTAGGCTAATGGATCGGAACCCAATGATATAAGCACGCCAATGAGTTGACAAAACTAATTAAATCCCTGGATTAAGTTTTACATTCAAGATAGTATGCAATATCTAAATATAATCTGAGGTAAAAGTACTGTCTTTTTACATATGAACGCAAAACGAAACTTTAATCTGTGGGAACTGCAGAGATATACACTGCTTAACCCAAAAACTCTTTTAATTAAAAACAATTTTTTGATTTTGAAATTAATAACAGATTGCAGCTTGCTTTGTCATTTTAGCTAATTTAAATATATATATTTACTTTTTTTTGTTTTTTGTATATTTAAATATAAAATATTTTTAATTTGATAACCAGAATTATTATCTCTGAAAGCAGAAAATAACAGTATAATTTACTGCTCTTAAATAGTATAACAGGTAATTAAGAAAGCAATATATTCAAAGTAAAAGTAACCACTTTCTGTTGGCTCAAAGAACTCTAAAAATTCAATAAATCTCTGGATCTGATAAAAATTGTAGCATCAAGAATGCCTCGAGAAGATATGATAAAAATGGGTGAAAGTAAACCCACCAGAGCAAGTGCGTCTGAACCGGTCTTATCGGTCTGAATGAATTCGAATCACAACGATTTAGCTTCCCATTGGAAACTGGAAACGGGAAATCGTGGAACATATGGAAATTCCAGGTGGAGAGTGCAAACAATTGTCAAGTGCTTTTGAATCTAGAATCAAGAGCCCCAAAAGATATGCGTCACCACCCCCTCGTTTGGACCACGTCCAGGTGGCCAAGACCCCGCTTCACCCCCCCGGAATTATGCCAACCAGAACCGTTCTCGTTCTCGTTTTCAATTGGTTTATCCATGTCCATGTCCACGGACCCCAGCCAGCGTCGAAATGTCCAAAAGATTCGCTTGGCTGCGTATCAGTTGCGCATAATGCCCAAAGTCATTATGGCAGAAATCGTAAAAAAGCTAAACGCTTAAAAGCTGAAATTAAAATTATATATCTGAATTATGAAATTGTTTATCGGAATAAAGTGGAGGCGCAGAACAAAAACGGCCAACTGGCGATGACAATCTGGAAACTAAAGTGGCAAAAAGTTAAGCCAGAGTAATTACAAATTATAAACAAGCTCCAGACAAAAGAACAAAGAACTATGATCCATAACGAAGTCTTCTATACAAAGTACACCATTAGTTGGGGCATATGATAGGATTTCCGAAAGCTCTAAAATATTTTAAATTTAATCTCTTCATGACTTTTAATTATTTTTTACGATGCAAACTGATATTTGGGATATCCATTCCGAAATAAACTTAACTAGAGAAACATTTTCAAGAACTAGGTAACCATATTAGTGGGATATAAAAGTATCTAGAATTGAGAAAACCGTGACTTTAGATCTCCTTGATAACATTCCGGGTTCATTGCTTGGGCTCGCTCACTGTCGATTTCCATTAAGCCGAATCCATTATTATAGACTGCTCCGAAGTAAGTATATATATGGGGATAGGAAGTGGGCTGACTCAGCTTCTGGATTCCACGAGTTACCGTAACACCAGGCGTCGCCTCCCACTTAAGGCACGCATGCGACCCCCTTGAAATAGTGAAGGGTTAATGGGAGGTTCAAGTGTCGTTTGCTCACTTCATCCGTACTTAACTGACGTCTAAGGCTTACGACTGGACTTTTCACGAATTGGAAATTAATTAAGGAGTGAAATTGGCTTTGAGGGCTGAAAAAAAACACTTGTCTGTTAAATTTATATATATTATATTATATTAGATGACAAGTAGGCAGCGGTTCCGACCATGAAAAGGAATATACATTTTTGATAGGTCTTCTAGCTGATTCGATTTTGGCATCCATATCCGTATGCCCATGGTAAAGTTAATACGGCGGAGACTTTGGAACATGTGATAGAGCTAATCACCAGAATCTACATTCTTTATCATGCTGTACAGTTTTCGGGATCGCATCCATATCCTGATCGTGATCAAAAACCTCAGCTTATGGATTTAGTAACACACCTTTTTTTTTAAACGAATTCCATTGAAGTCTCAGAGTAATTGGGTACAATGAGCCATTTAAAAAACACGAATACATTTTCTGATGTTTATTAAAACTTCACAAATTCGAAGACATTTCTTTTAAGGATGCTGTTCCCCCTTTAACAGGTATATATGTTTCTATATACAAATATATATATATATCTATCACGTATCTTTACTTTATGCTTAGAAACGATAAATTTATCATTTTTGAGCTTGATTATTTACAATTTCTGGTTTCTTATAAAAACAAAATGTTAGCCACAACTAAAACAAACTACAAAGGAAATAAAAATCTTTGTTTTACACTTCAGTCTTTTTAGTTTTCCTTTGTTTTAATTTGTAGGTTGATTAACTTTAACAAAAAAAACTATACAAGGTATCAAGGAAAATGTGTATTCAAAATAAAAAGATTTTCACATAACAAAACATAATAAAATATAAGCAAAAAATAATTAAAATTAAAACAACATTTTATTCCAGTGGGGGTTTTCTTAATGCTAACTAAATCATTTTTAAAAAGAGGCATTTTAAACCCTAGTTAAGGTGTGCGATGTTTTACGGCTTTCTTTTAGTATTTTAAAAAGTTGTACGTAATTTCCGTGAGCCACATCCTTAAGGAAGGTTCTTAAACCATGATGGTTCATATGGCTTCTGAAATCGTTAGAAAAATAATTTTTGTAATTTGTGACCGTGTAAATTCCGTTCAATACGTCACAGGGATGAGCTTAGTGGGCCGCGCCCTTTGGCCCTGGCAAGGTCACGACTAAAGTCAATCAAGCGTTGTCGTTTGAGCCGGGGTCGAGAGTCAAGCGACAAAAAAAAATATAAATAGGTAATTGCCAGAGGCGCTAACAAGTTTCAGGTGGCTCGAAAAGGTGGACAGCCGCTGCCTGTCGGCGTAATCACATTTCGCAGTTGTCAATAGAAGGGGCAGGCATGTACTTATAAATCTTTATATGTTACTATTTGCCAAGTTGGACAAACAGCAACAAGGAGGGGGGGCTGAATGCCACTTAAGTGCCATTATAAGACTACGATTTGCAATATAGACAAGTCATGATTACGGTTACCCCACAACCGGTTTTCGATTCTCTATATTCAAAGGTAAGCCAAATGCACATTACTGCTGCAGTAGGTTGAGATACTCATGCAGGATCTTCTCCTCTTGGATCAGGGGCAAGTCAAGGTAGTCCATATCAGTCTGGCTGATGTCGGAGTTGAAGCGCTCATAGGCCTTGTAGGTATCCAGCTCGGAGCGTGCATATTTTAAAGCCGTCTCGATGATGGGCGATGGCGGAGCAGTCTGGGCGTTCGAAGTGGATGGTCCATCTGAAGTCGGTCGTCCAGCTGTGCCCATAAGGCCAAGGCGCTGAAAAGCCTCCTTCAGCTCCTCCTCGCTAGTGAAGGAGCGCACTAGGGATTCAATGGCCTGCTCTATGTTATTCGACGCGTTCTCGAGGGCCACAAGCGAGTCTTCCTTGTTGAATCCCAGCTGGAGAAGCTGGGCCAGCTTGTCCTCATCGGCGGAGATACGAATACCGGGCAAAGCAGCACAGAGCGTGTCCATTTCATTTTCAAGCAGTTCCACCTGAGGAAACAAAATTCTTTTAAGTAATAAGTTGAATATAGCCAAAAGAGTAACTAATTAGTTGCTTTTATAAATTTTGCTAAAAAAGAAAGGAACAAAACTAAACAATGTCCCAACTCACCGCTTTGGGTATATCATTATTGGACCTTTGCAACGCGATAGTAGCCAGTCCGCTCTCAAATCCCATCTGAGTGAGGGTGCAGACACTGCGTGGATTAACCCAGTTACAATCATTGGCATTGGAACGCCTCATCCTGTCTTGCAGAGCACGTTCCTTCTTAGACTGCTTGCGGGCATCTTTGAGCTGCTGACGACGCTCCTCGATGAACTGCACAGCGGACTCAATGTTGCTTTGGCCCGAACAGGACCGCAGGGCCAGACGAGCTTCAGAGGGTTCGAAACCCATTTCAACCAGCAGAACCAGCTGATCCCCGTTGATCTTGAGTTCCCTCAGCAGGTTGTTAGCTGCTTCAAAACGCTCGTATGCCTCATTGCGAAGATTCTGGTGGAACATCACCACACCCTGAAGCAACTGCAGGCGCATTATTAAAGCTCTTTCCGGGCAGGACTTGCCCTTCATGGAGTAAAGCCTCTCAAAATTCTCGCCATAGCTGCGACGGAAACTGCGGCCACAAATGGCCAGACGACGCTCAGCATCCGGCAGTTGGGTCACGTTCTTTAGGCATAGATAGCACCACACTATGTCTAGGTTGAGCAAGGCATAGTTGTCCACAGATTCAAGGAACTGTGAGTCGCAGTTGGCAAATGACTCGTCGGCCTCCAACAGCAGGAGCAGGGATTCTTCAAAATCTTCGCGAGCCATGGCGGCACGGGCCTTTTCACAGAATCCCAGAGCAATAAGCAGTGCTCGATTCTCGGCCGGTGGCAGAAAGACAGGGCTGCCATTCTGGTCCTCCATCTAAGGGTATATAAAACTAGATTTAGATTTGCCTTATTAAAGCAGCAAGGGTAGGATAGCTAACCTCCATGAGACGGTTCTGCGATGAGACCACCGCCAGCACATCGGCCTTGACACGGTTGATCTTTTCGTAAAGGGCTTCACCCTTATTATCCCCAACGCCCACGATCACTATCAGTTGCTGATTGTTTCTCAACAGCTGCGCAGCCAAAGTGGCATTTGAGGCCACCATTCTTCCGGCAGCAATGCATTTAACGTGCTCAGCTTTCGATAGCTGGAATTTCTCGGCTATGACAGCCTGCAAATCTGAACCCAGGGAATTTAAGTCGCATTTGATGTCCATCATGGTGACGCCGCTGTGCTTGTCAATGCGACGCACCTTAAAAGTGGCCATTCCCGTGGAGCTATACTCACGGCGGGCGGCCAGCTTACGGAGCGCATTCTCCTGCAACTCGATCAAAACGAACTTGCAACGATTCTCATCGAAGCCCAGGATGCCGGCGTACTCATTGGCCAGGTTCTGTGGGGGAATCGATATTTTGCAAAATTAGTAAGTCTTTATTTATAAACTTAAGGTTTCCTTCAATGTTCTATAAGTCGACCATCCCAACTGCATGTCCCTATCAGTGCTGTCACTGGTATCTCTCTGTCCTTCTCTTTTCCAAAAAAAAAGTTAATCTCTGGGTCAAAAAGTACTCATAAAAAATAACTAATCCTTTTATGAACCGCAAAGTAAATCCTAAAATAATTATTTTATCTTTATCTTTATCTTTAAATTATCTTGGATTTCAAACTAGCCGACATTGTTAAAAGTTATAAATTATAAGCACGAGTACACTTTAAAATTGTAACATTGTAACATTTAAAGTTTTATTGTTTTTAAAAGGAAATGTAACATAAATTGTTATAAATTTTATCTGTTGGCTAAGATTGAAAGGCAATTGGATCAGAGAACTATATCCAAAAGGTTTCAAATCAGTTGTATATACATACATACATATGTACGTATGTATGTGTAGCACTATCAATGACTTTCACATTTTACGGCAACAAACTACATATGTACATACATACATATGTACTTACTCCTTGTTAAAAGAAATGTTTAGGAAATTTGTATTTTATAAGTTTTTCCTTAATCTGGCTCTAAATTGAATTAGTCTTTAGTTAACAAAGCGTATTAAACAAACTTATGCTAATTATTAAAATAAAGATTAATCATTGTTCTTAATGGATTACTTTAACGTTCTCAAAACTACTATGTCATTGTCTATATTATATAGTTTGCCGAAGATAATTTAAAAAAATATTTCTCCGTTGTCCTAAAAATGCATGGATGTGTGATTAACGCATATTCAGATTTCAAGTAGTGGAACACTGAACACTACGAGATTATCATAGATCTTCAGAACATATAAATACATACCTCAATAGCGCCCTCGATACTGCCAAGATCTTCCGAATAGTAGGGCTCCTCCCACAGCCTTATTTTTTCGGCCTGGAGGCGTGCCCGGACCTGGATTAACATGTTGTCTAGGCTCGACATTTCCAGTGATGACGGTGCAAATAGTGTGGCGAAATTGAGGATGTTGGATTCCTCGGCACACGTCACAAAGAAACTCAAAATATTCTTACAGCCGATGTGATGTTATTGTTCTTCTTCTTATACCTCGCACATGTGTTTCTGCACGCAACAATAAAAAAAGATGCGCAGTCAGCGAATTCCGCGTGTTTTTAAAGTTTTACCACTTCCAAATCACAAACAACTATAACAAATATAAATATATACGAAAAAGAAAGCCACATATAGGAAGATCACGTCCTTCGACCTACGTCCTCAAAATATATTTTTTAAATATAATTCGAGATTGACAAGTGATTATCAAAAAATGAACTGACAATCGATAGCTATCGACACCTATAGCACTGAGCTAGCTGTCAGCGAAAAGAATCTAAGGCAGCTCTGTCAAAAGCCTACTACTCTAAATGAGCATGACGAGTATTTTTGAATTAAATTAAATGTAGGAAAAGGAACTTGTACACTGTTTATCGCAAAGGTTTAAATATATTACGAATTTTCACTTAACAATCTATTTTTTTATATCATATTATTTATAATTTAACCAAAATTGTATGTCTGTAAGCTTTTGTAAGTAGATATTTATCGATATCTATCGATTTTAAGACGACGTTGCTTAAATTTAAATTCAAATTTAAAGAAAACAAAAAGCTTGGGATATAATCATATATATATATATATTTTAGGTATTGGCTTGCCCTTTACTTTAAGTAGTACTTAATAACTATATTTATAAAAAGTCTACAATTTCAATTTAAAAATAACCAAACACATTAATTTAGCATTTAAATATCGTTTAATATTTTTATGTGGTTTAATTTTGGTCGCTTATCCTGTCATAGAAAAGACAACCCAGCTGACGCTGTGAAGGACCATCCCCTGGCCAGTCAACCTGACCTCCCTTATTTTCCAGGTGGCAGGGCAGGCCTCGTCGCACCTGTCACATTTCGCCAGTGGTGGTGAGTGTGCCTCGCGCTTGTCTCTATCTTACCTAGAAACTTCAGTCTCTCGCACACGGCGATTGCGCGAGCCGGTCAGAGAATATCCATATCCATATAAACAACGATTCCCGATCAGATCGACCATACCTTGGCCTACATGAAGACCCGCCAGCTGCCGTCGGCCACGACCACGGTCTCTTACCGGGCAAAACAGCGAGATCTGGGAGGCAGGCCAGCGGGAGTCGGCATGCCCTGCGAGCGGGAGCGTAAGCACGAGGCCGCCATGCGGGAGCGGGAGGAGCAGATGAAGCGGGAGAGGGCCGCGGCGGCGGCGGCAGCGGCGGCACAGCGGGTACGCCTACATAACCGTAAGATGAACGCGGAGGAGGATCATGCCAAGCGCAGAATTTCGCATCCCAAGGACCGACTTCAGGCATACAGAGGATATGTTACTGGAGGTGGGCTAATGACTGAATTCCTTTTCTAATATTCTAAAAACTAAGCAAAGATAAAACTATCTGTTAAAATCTGTGAGAAGTATTGTTGTATTTTAAAGATATTGTATCTAAATATTTCTTATATTAACCCATATTTCGTTTATCTCTTAGTATCGCGAGGACTATCTGGAACACGAGAAACCGGAAAAACTGGGGAAAGCGGATCTGGAGCTCGAATGGGAAAGTCTGCTAAAGCAGCAGCAGCTCCGCCCCAGGATCCCAATGATGACCCAGATGAGTGCGACGCCAAGGCCGAACGCCTGAGGAAGCAGCTCGAAGAACTGGCCGCCCTGTCGGAGGATGAGTTTGAGGTTAAATTCCGGCAGTGGCTGGATCAGGAGGGAATTGCCCGGGAAATGCACTCCCACCTGCGTGTGGAGCTCATCCATTGTTTTAACAACACGGCACTGGGTAATATTTAGTTTAACAATTCTTAAGTTTAACAATTTGTATAGTCCTACCTTTTCGTGATAACTTTTATAGCTTAAAGACTTTTCTCATAAATATTTATGCAGATCCTTCAAGATCCTTATAGATCCTTAAGCTTAATAATGCTGTAAATCACTAAATATTTATATGGATGTATTAGATAAGATAATCAAGATCAGATTAGATCAGATTAATAGAAGATATACAGATTATGCTCCGCTTATTGAATATCAATTTATGAAATCCCTTCCTTCCAGGTCAGCTCCTCAGCAAGGCCGCTGGCGTGCAGATGGCCCATTCGCACTCTCTGCTCGTCTCTCCGCTGGCCATGGTCCTTCACACTTTGGTGGCGGAGTTTCTGCACTCCCAGAACTGCCACTTCACTTTGTCGGTCTTCTGCAGCGAGACGCCCCATCGCCAGAAGCTGCCCGATTTCAGTAGTCGGCCCGAGTTCCGGTTCCGGCCGGAGGAACTGCAGCAGGTCTTGATTGAAGTTCTAGGCGGTGAGGAGGCTTCACCGGATCCGGAACTGAGTCAGATTACTTTGACTCACTACGAGGAGGATCTGGCTGGCCAGACTCAGTGTTTGCTGATGGCTCTAATGCGAGCGCTGTTGGATATAAGGAGGGATTTGCCCATCCAGATGGAGGATAAGAAGGATCAGACAATTTCCGTATCCCTGCAAGATTCTAGCTGTCAAACGGAGCCCTCTGCATGCCTGGAAGTTCGTCCCGAGGTGGACACCACTGGTTTTTATCAGGCGGAGGAGAACGAGCTGTTCCTGGGCGCCGATGGCCGCAGTGTCTTTGTGGGCGGCCGTGTCTCGCAATCGCTGCACTCCGTGGAGAATCTGCTTAACCAATTAATGAAGAACCTCCGCTTTCTGGCCAAGTCCTGTGCTCCTCCAGTAGAGGTAATATCCCCGCCCAAGCTGGAAGATCTTCTGAAGAAGGAGCTGCGCGAAAGGGAGCGTCTCCTGAAGGCAGGAAAAACCTTTGATCCTGGCAAGTCGGTGACAAAACTAGCTTCAGAAGAGAAAGTGGAGGGGCAGAAATCCACCTTTGTAAAGGGCGAGGATGATGTGGTTCAATCGGAAGTGGGGCCCATCCTATTACCAGCTCTGGATGTGCCCCTTCCGCGCCTGCCACGCCTGCGCGGAGAGCAATTGGCCAGTCTGGCAACGATTCGGCAGTCATTAGAAAAGATCCAAAAGAGGTCTCGCCAACCGCAGGGCCGGATGTACGTGTCCATGGAGCGAATGGAGACTCTGATGAACGACGTTTGCGGCAGCGTCCGTTTGCTCGTCAATGTGCTCAATCTCTCCATGGAACAGGAACATAGCGTGGGCGAACACAAGGGATTCAAGGAGGGTTATCGCGAGGGTTTTGCTCATGGGCATTTTATGGGTCTACAGGAGGGTCAGATGAAGGAGCAGTGCGATCAGATGAAGAGGGAAAGAGAAAGGGAAAGGTCCGAAACCTCCGTCCAAGTGGACATCAAGATTCCCACAAAGTCTAGAGCCACCCAAGCCTCACGGAGGTCCGCTCGCAAGGCGAATGTACACACCCAAACGGACCAAGAGCACCATAAGGATGCTTGCCAACAGGCCAATTTATCAGACCCAAAACCCATGCACAGGTCATACGAGCAGTGGATCCACGAGATGCTGCACAGCTCCAGTGGTCAAGTGTTCCTCGAACGCGTGGAGCTCTCCTTAAACAAGGCCATGGATCTGCAGAAGGCGCGGCTGGACGAGCTCTTCCAGGTGAAACTGCGACACCAGGCCGAGATGGTGCGGCTAAGTAGGAGGCAGAACACCTGGAGGGTGAGTGTTATATTATATTATTATTATTAATTAATTTTGTATTATATTATTAATTAAACAAATTCCAGACCCTTTGCAAACGAGTGGAGCGGGACTCCTCATCAACAGCAGAGGCACGGGAGCTGGTCCAGAAGATATTTGGGCTGCTGGAGCATTACGAAGCCCACCATCAGCAGTTGGCGGAGAAGATCCAGCAGACGGAGATCGCGGCGGAGCAGGAGGCTCGCATCATGCCCATGTGGACGGAAGGAGGTGGCAATGGCTCCGCTCCTGGCAATACGAACTCGCCGCTCACTTCTAGTGGGATCAGCACCCCGAAACCAGCTAAGAATTGCATCGAGGAACCCATACCAACTGCTGCCATGGAAGTGGATAACAGCCATGCGACTGTCCTTGGGTATCGCTACCAATTACTGGCAGTGGCCCCGCCAGAAGGAATTCCAGTGACAGGCACCCTTGTGCCCGTCAAGCCTCGACATTCTGTCCATTTCGCAAAGGATCTTGTTAGTCCTTCTACCCGTAAACCTGTACGTCCTAGTAACATTCCTGCCGAGCCTAGCCCTGATCATCCTATAACCATCGTTAATAATAATCCTATTTCTGAAGAGCCTCTTCCAAGGGATTCACAACCTGTGGAAAATCCAGCCATGTGAGTTTTTAGATTTCCAATATCCTTTGTCCCGAATTCATTCGCATCTGTTTTCAGGGATCCTTCTTCAGACAGTCCTCGTGCTGCTCCAAAGTCGTCGCTTTCTCCTCGGGAGCCTTCCCCTCCTGGGGCCAATGTTGCGCCCTCCACTGCATCCACCACTGCGATTCCCATTCAGCCTACTGCGGAAACCGAACTTCAACCAGTACCTCCTGCTTCTGATCCTCCAATGCCATCGACGCACTCTGTGGCCACCAATACGATGACTCCACTTCCATTAAAGTTGACACCACTCACAACGTCTCCTGGTCACTCCGTAAAGGGACCGAGCTTCGCGGATGCTTTACTAAGTGCGAAGTAAGTTGTTGAAATTAAATTTGTATTTAAGTTAAATTCTTTTCTTAATTTTAAAATGTTTTATATTATTCCAAAATTACCTCCTTCTCTAGGAGTCGCATGCTGCAGCTGGAACAGGAGAGCGACCTGCTCGAACGGAGTTTCCTCAGCTGTCTGGAGAAGACCAAGTCGAAGACGTTTGCTCATAAATCCACAGAGGAGCCACCGAAGAACAGAAGGATTCGCTCTGGCTGCCTGAGGGAACGTGAACAGATAAATCGCACCATGGACGGTCTTCGGGATTGGCATGGACGCATTCGCAAGGAGGATAGAACTCAAGTGGATGAGCTGCAGAACCAGATAACTATACCAGGCACCATGCTAGATTCAACACCACCATGGCTGTCGGAACTAGAGGATGGCCACGAGCAGAATAGCTATCCCTTCACCAACGCCATCTCCGAAGCAAGAAACAAATTTCTGGGCAAGATAATGCCGATCGAAAGAGAGGAGAAGGAGGCGGAGGAGAAGCAGGTTGTTCGGACGGATTGGCTGGAGGGTCTGCCATCAGAGGTTCCAGAACTTCTAAAACCTACTAAGCCCCAGGAACTGGACCGCCTGCTTACCGATATAACGCCCGACTTAACGCGAAGCAGCAGCAATGGAGAGATCAGCTTGCTCCTCCAGCGGGCCAAAATGGCCCTTGGCTTTAGGGCATCGAATCCGCTGCTGGACAGTAGCAGCAGCAGTTCCAGCATGGAGTTGCCATCTATGGGAACCGGAAGGTCGCCGAGCACAAAATTCCAGGCATCCATGGCCAAAATGCAACTTCTCTTTGGCGCCGCAGATCCAGTAAAGCCAGCCGTGTCCTCAATCCCGCCCAAACCCAATAGACCTGTGAGTGCACCCACTGCAGGATCAGGATCGGGAATACTGAAGAATTCCCAGCTCCCACAACGGCCCCATACGGCACCCACTCTCAGCACAATCGGCGAAAAGATACCGCCCGCTCTTAGCTTGGACGTTTCCTCATCCAGCTCTTCGGAGAGCACCTTGCCCGAAAGGTCAGCTGGGAAGGCTTTCGAGGCGTTGGTTACGAGCGCCGTGGCGGGTGGCCAGCACCGCGATCCGGATTCAAGTCAAGAAGTATCCTTCAGCCAGGCCTTCTGGAAACGCATGAATCTGTAAAAGAATCCGCGGAAGATCCTAATAAATGTGTTTTAAAAACAAAAAATAAATCGACGTTGACTTAAGGAAAGGTGACCCAAAAGTGTACCTCTTAGTTTGACCGATTTCAATTGAAGGTACTATAGATACGTACATACACATGTGTCTTTATATTTAATAACCTTCATTACAATGCAATACTTTCTGATCAGTTTTGACAGCAATTGCTTTGGTTCTTAAGGTTTTCTGAAAGGTGACCCAAAACCAATCTCAGCCCTAGACCTGTGACTTAAGCAGTACTTGAGTGAAAAGAGAGATAAATACATAATAATTATAAATAAAACTCATCACTTTCCGGCCAAAAGTGTGCGCATTTATTAATTTCCATAGACCTACATATAATATATATCCAATTTAAGTACGCGTTACACTTGTCTGTATTTTTGACGAATTTGACGTGGCCAAAATTGTGCGCTTAGATTAACAATTTGTTTAGACCATCTATTTTTTGTATATATTTTTTAAATAGTACTTTCTTTGCATAGACATATACTTATAGTTATATTTTTTGTCACCTTACTTCCGAAAAAAAATTTAGCTCTTTGGTTTCTTTGGCTTTGATAACTCCGAGTATGTGGGTGGCTTAGACGGCGGTGCCATTGATGAGATCGTAGGGATCCCTGTTCTGGCCGAGGCCAAAGAGGCTGGCATGGGATCTTCGTCGCTCCCGCTCGATCTCGTCCAGATCGAAGGCATCGCTCACGTAACTGGACCTCCGCTGCTGATCGTCGAATGCGTAGCCGCGCTGGAATTTCGGTGGTCCAGAAACCGGAACAGTACCTCCGGTTCCCCCAGTTCCGCCAGATGCAGCCCCTGGAGTCGGATAAATGGGCTGCGGATGCTGTTGATAGCCATTGGCGTAGTTCGACGGTGACGAGGGTATCGCCGTTGGCCACTGCACCTGACTCTTAGGCTGCACCACCTGGGGCAAGGTCAATGTGGAGGATACGAAGCGGCTATGTGGCTGATTCAGCATCAACTGGGAGAACCGCTGCTGACTGGAGCCCAACGGGAATCCCTGGGAGGCCAGCGAATCGGACGACTGACGCAGGAAGCAGCGCGGCAAGGTGCGACTCTGGCCAAGATCAGCGGGCGGTGGCAAGGGCATCCGCATCCCTGAATAGCCTCCGCTCAAGCCCGGGTAGCTCGAATCCGTGTGCAGGGACAGGTTCGAGTTGAGTCTGCGCAACGGCTGCCCGAACGAGTCTACGCAAACCGAGGTGCGACGCGGCACTACCAACTGGGCGTGGTCTGTTAATATCAGAAAAATATTTTTAGTAAAACGATTTTTAGAGAATGATTCCAGTTTTTAAAAACTTACCTCCCACCACATATAGGTGATCCTCCTCCATGCGATTAAACTGTCTGAAACCGTGATCATCCCCATCCGCGTCATCGTCGTCATCACAGCGGGGAACCTCCTGGGCCTCCTCCCGTTTATTATGCTCCACCTGCTCCTCCTCCTCTGCTTCCTCTCCACCACTGATGTAGTAAATATTTTTGGGCTTGCTACGCATCCCAGCCCGGCGGCAGAACTCCTGGAAGAGTTCGTCCTTGGTCTTCCGCAAGCCTCTCTTTAGGCCACACAACCGCGACTGATCCTCAAACTGCGTCTGCGAGGATGGTGGATTTTTGGAGATCTTCGTGGTCGTGTTGGTGGCCATGTTTCGCTGCTGTTTCCGCTTCATTTGGGCGGAGGGCGGAGCAGGAGCAGGATATATATCCGTGGCGGTGGACACGGATCGAGTGAGTGGAAATTCTTGGGGCAAGTCAGCAAAAGAGGAGGAGCGGGCCAGGGGATCTGGATCCGGAAGAGGAAGAGGAGCTGGTATAGGAACGGGAACGGGAACATGAGTGGAGGACACCGACGTCTCCGTGCAGAGCTCATTCAGCGATTTGGCAAAGCTACGAGAGTGCAGATTGCACTTGGATACCGCAGGCTTCTCAAAGTAGAAACTGAAAAATGGATCAGATATCAATATCAATTGATATTGATATCAATATCAATATCAATATCAATATCAATATCAATATCAATATCAATATCAATATCAATATCAATATCAATATCAATATCAATATCAATATCAATATCAATATCAATATCAATATCAATATCAATATCAATATCAATATCAATATCAATATCAATATCAATATCAATATCAATATCAATATCAATATCAATATCAATATAAATATCAATATCAATATAAATATCAATATCAATATCAATATCAATATCAATATCAATATCAATATCAATATCAATATCAATATCAATCAATATCAATATCAATATCAATATCAATATCAATATCAATATCAATATCAATATCAATATCAATATCAATATCAATATCAATATCAATATCAATATCAATATCAATATCAATATCAATATCAATATCAATATCAATATCAATATCAATATCAATATCAATATCAATATCAATATCAATATCAATATCAATATCAATATCAATATCAATATCAATATCAATATCAATATCAATATCAATATCAATATCAATATCAATATCAATATCAATATCAATATCAATATCAATATCAATATCAATATCAATATCAATATCAATATCAATATCAATATCAATTCAATATCAATATCAATATCAATATCAATATCAATATCAATATCAATATCAATATCAATATCAATATCAATATCAATATCAATATCAATATCAATATCAATATCAATATCAATATCAATATCAATATCAATATCAATATCAATATCAATATCAATATCAATATCAATATCAATATCAATATCAATATCAATATCAATATCAATATCAATATCAATATCAATATCAATATCAATATCAATATCAATATCAATATCAATATCAATATCAATATCAATATCAATATCAATATCAATATCAATATCAATATCAATATCAATATCAATATCAATATCAATATCAATATCAATATCAATATCAATATCAATATCAATATCAATATCAATATCAATATCAATATCAATATCAATATCAATATCAATATCAATATCAATATCAATATCAATATCAATATCAATATCAATAATATCAATATCAATATCAATATCAATATCAATATCAATATCAATATCAATATCAATATCAATATCAATATCAATATCAAATATCAATATCAATATCAATATCAATATCAATATCAATATCAATATCAATATCAATATCAATATCAATATCAATATCAATATCAATATCAATATCAATATCAATATCAATATCAATATCAATATCAATATCAATATCAATATCAATATCAATATCAATATCAATATCAATATCAATATCAATATCAATATCAATATCAATATCAATATCAATATCAATATCAATATCAATATCAATATCAATATCAATATCAATATCAATATCAATATCAATATCAATATCAATATCAATATCAATATCAATATCAATATCAATATCAATATCAATATCAATATCAATATCAATATCAATATCAATATCAATATCAATATCAATATCAATATCAATATCAATATCAATATCAATATCAATATCAATATCAATATCAATATCAATATCAATATCAATATCAATATCAATATCAATATCAATATCAATATCAATATCAATATCAATATCAATATCAATATCAATATCAATATCAATATCAATATCAATATCAATATCAATATCAATATCAATATCAATATCAATATCAATATCAATATCAATATCAATATCAATATCAATATCAATATCAATATCAATATCAATATCAATATCAATATCAATATCAATATCAATATCAATATCAATATCAATATCAATATCAATATCAATATCAATATCAATATCAATATCAATATCAATATCAATATCAATATCAATATCAATATCAATATCAATATCAATATCAATATCAATATCAATATCAATATCAATATCAATATCAATATCAATATCAATATCAATATCAATATCAATATCAATATCAATATCAATATCAATATCAATATCAATATCAATATCAATATCAATATCAATATCAATATCAATATTAATATCAATATCAATATCAATATCTATCTTACCGCCTGTCCAAGTCGTTGTGTAGATATAGATTCAAGTTTGATCCGGCATTCGGATGTTTGCGACATGCTCCTGGAAGAGTTTGCGTCTGTCCGGGATAACCCATTTGTCCAGGATTTCCAGGGTGACTTCGACCTGCGTCATGAACCTGGTGAAGTCGGGAATTTCCGCTCCTCAGAATTCCGTGTGATGGCTGTGCTGCCGGTGGTGGCGGCTGATGAGTCTGACCCGCGCCACTGAGTCCTTCTTGGCTGGCGGTGGTGTTGCCCGGCTGCTTGTACCGCTTGTAAGAGTCGCTCAACGGGTGCTGACCGCCCTCCTTGAACTTGGCATGGATGTTCGCAACACTGAAACAGGGCAGACGCTGCAAAGAAATGTGTATATGGAGAGCGTAAAGTAGGTAAAGTACACAAGATGCAGTTAATCCCGGCGGACTCATCCGGCGACGCTTGCATTTAAGCTGAAAGGTTTCTGCAGTCAAGCGGCAGAATTGCGAATTACAAGGGGTGGGCGTGGCTGGGGGAGGGGACTCCCGGATGCATTGACAAAAAAAAAATGAAATAAAGAGACGAAGCACTTTAAAAGTTCAACTTCGTATTAAATAGATAAATAAAAAAAGTAAAATTGAAAAAGTCCTTTAGAAATCCTTTTACCTTATAATTAAAGTATATTATATACACAACTATATATAGTACTTAGTCGTAGTAACTTATTGTTCAGATTCACTCACACTATAGTAGCTGACCTCCTGCAAATTGATGAAGAGGAATATATTCAGGACGCCAACGAATTCCGTGACAATGAATCCGAAGACAAAGAGAAAGAAGCTCTGGCCGTAGGAGACCTTGATGAGAGCGGGCTGGAGGGTGGAGCGGGGTCTCAGCTTGGACCCAATTTCCGCCTTTAAGATGGATATATAGGCAATCAGGCCGATCAGCATGACTAGACCTGGAATCAAGGATATTATATTTAGATTCACAGGATGGGAAACTCGGAACTTACCGCTGACAATAAACAGAATTCCGGCGCTGAAATAATAGAGATTGTTTTGATGCGAGCAGGTCGGTATCAGGAAAACTATAAAGCTGATCACCAAGAAGACTCCGGCAGCCAGGAATATGGGGCAGGACTTGGTGACCGTATCTGTTAAAAAAAATGATTAAAGTGTCTTAATAGCTAATGGTATTTAAAGATAATCTTTGATATATATTAAAGTATTAGTAGTATTAAACCAGAAAGTCTTTTCTTTCTTTTAATAAATCCACCTCTATTCCGGCCTAGATTTTCAAGCCGTATATCCGATTTCTATTTTTGTTTTCTTTCTGTTTCCCCTTTGACCTGTCAGCGGGTGACAAAATGTCCTGCGGCTAAGCAAAAACACGCAGAAATTGGCGACCTGTTATCCGATATAAAAAAATTCGAGTCGGAGCAACACCCATTTCTGGCCGACTGTTTAATAGTTTTATTTTTTAAAATTGTCACCCGAGGCCAGTTTGAAATTAGTTTTGAGCGCTGGAACAAAACAAAATTAATGGGAATATTTGAAATCGATGGCCAATTGTGTGAAAATTAATGGAATTCCAAGCGGCTCTGGGATATTGGCATTTTGGCAGAGAGAGCGCGGGTAACGAATGGATGTGCTTTTGGTTAAGTTGATTTGGCCAGCTATGAAATGTGGGCGAGAGAATCTTATAATGGATATTGAAAATGTTCAACCATTGTCATCCCCTGACCCCATTCACAAATTGCTTGGGAAGACCACAAATCATCGGGACAAAACTTTGCCGATGGAGGCCAAAGGCCTTTAATTAAAATTCATCCAACTAAAGTTGTATTATATGTGCATGTGCGTTTTGTGGGCCAACTAACAACAATAAATCAATTTCAATTTGGACCAGTCACCGTCATCTGAGGGGGCTGGCATTCACCTGGTTAAATACCAAATGCCAGTTAAGCCCATTAAGGCTTAGTTGAGACTTAAAACGCGGCAGTTAAGATGGATACATCAAGCCGGAAGCCCATAAATTGCATTTACACACAACGAAATACTTCTATGGTCTAGTATTTATTTTGATTTAAATTGAGAATATTGTTGATTTTCATAAGGTAGTGTGTGGGTACTTACAGGGTATGGCCGCCGTTGAGTCGTGCGGATCCGGTTGATAGCCCTCGTTGGGAAAGTAGTCGATCTTAACGCAGTTGTACGAGTCAGCATCCAGGCCTATACGTAAGTAAAAATGGGAAGATAAGACCTGGGAAATTCCTTAAAAAGAGTATGATTACGAAGGTAGATCATACCAAAGAAGATTTTAAGTTCTCGGACTTAGCTCCTTTTTAAATATTATAGTAGTTATAGGTTTAAAATCAAAGATATATAAGGCTATATTCTTGGTTAGACGTAAGATAAGGTAAATGGTAACTATCGGTATGTTTATATCAAACCTTTAAAACATGTTATCAAAAGTAAAAGTATAAACATGTCTAACATATACCCAGCACTCCCTGAAATAGCATTCCAAACTCCGACTTAGACACTCTCTCGCCAATAATAATAAATGCCAAATTGGCGTGGAATACCCAGATCAGGATCAGGATGTTGGGCAACAAGTTGTCCAAAACGAAGAACCAGAAGGAGGTAGCCACACAGGCTAAGAAGACCGTGGCGAAGACCAAGCCAAAGAACAAAGTCAAGGTTAAGGGGAAGGGTAAGGGCAAGGGCAAGGATAAGGATAAGACCAAGGACAAGGTAATGTTAGGGGAAACAGAATCTAAAATTTTGATGGCTTTGGAACGAGGCAGTGGAGATGGTCCCCATCAAGTGGCCACTCAGCCAAGCCTCGTGGCACTCCGCTTCATGGACATTTCGCTTCGCCACTCGGACATCCAGTTGATTCAATCCACCAACGAGGGCGTTAACGAGCGCCTGGTGGCCTTCTATTACACATACCTACAGCAGCGGCGTTACCGCTCCCAGACGGATCTGCACTTTTTAAATCCAGCCATGGCCGCCCGACTACGACATATGGACATGCGTCAGTTGCTGGCAATGGTTCGCGACCGCCGTCTCAACGAGAAGCAGTTCATTCTGGTGCCGCTGTCTTCCCATCCCAGGTATATTTTATTACGTCCTTTAGGCTATGTTATAGGAACATCCTTACCGCCATTTAACTCTACCCTAACTCCGTAGACCACATGGGCACTGGTCCCTTTTGCTGATTTCTCGCCCGGATGGCAAATTCTACCACTTCGATTCCTTGGATTATTCCCATTCGATGTTGGCCGGCTTGGTGTCGGAAACTTTGAGAGCGCCCCTCGAAGCCTGGAAGTTCGCCCTAGTCACGGGACGGTGTCTGCAACAGGAGCTCCTGCCCGCAGGTAAGGAGGGATCGGTGCGCGACCCCGCCTCTGGAATCCACATGATGTGCATGACCGATTACGTGGCAGACTACGTGTCCAGAGTTGGATACGCCACCAGTACGCTGCTCATCGCCTACGACGAAGTCACCGCCAAGCGCACCCAGCTACTCGAGCTCATTCTGTCGCTCGGAGGAAATCTGCCCTCCAAGAGGGGCCGCTAAACGGATGTGTCCCCAATCATGTGTTTCCTTATGTTGGTTTTATTTTTGTTTCTGCTGCATAAATTATCAAATTAACTAAATCAAATAAAAATTGTGAACTTTACGTATTTTGCGATTACTTTTAGGCTTAAAATTTGTTTTTATTTAAGGAAGAAATGCGCTCTGAGTGCTCGTTTGTTATCGTAAATTCTCGCATATGAGCTTCCTCGCGCTATTTTTTCGTTTTCCTTTTTCCGCATCATTCCGTCGCCAACTGTAAAGTAATTTGTTCTTGTTTCTTCCTAAGATCATCTTCGAACTCCTTGCTATTCCACCAACAGTTTTTTGTTTTCCTCTTTCCGCCTCATTCCGTCGCCAACTGTAAAGTAATTTGTTCTTGTTTCTTCCTAAGATCATCTTCGAACTCCTTGCTATTCCACCAACAGTTTTTCATTTTCCTCTTTCCGTCGCCAACTGTAAGGGTATTTGTTCTCGTTTCTTCCTAGATCATCATCGAACTCCTTGCTATTCCCCCAACAGTTTTTCGTTTTCCTCTTTCCGCCTCATTCCGTCGCCAACTGTAAAGTATTTTGTTCTTGTTTCTTTTCAGATCATCCTCAAACTCCTTGCTATTCCACCAACAGTTTTTCATTTTCCTCTTTCCGCCTCATTCCGTCGCCAACTGTAAGGTAATTTGTTCTTGTTTCTTCTTCGATCACCCTCGAACTCCTTCTTTCCTTATAACTTATTTTTGCACTTCACAGTTAACTTCGCAGTGGAATTGGCAAACAGTTTTTCTTTCTCTCAGTGCACAGCTGCAAACCAACACAAAAGTTTCTCTAAATATGTGCACGCTTTCTTAAATTTGTGTTAGTAAATGCTCAGCCGTAAGACGAATTTGGGCACCCCTTAAGGAATATTTGGATAGGCTTAAGTAGAAATAACAGTAATATATTGCCCCTAGATTCAATACTCGTATATGCATTTATTTTTATGGCTTTACAAACATATGGCACCCGAAAAATTCCATAAAAAGTAGCCGTGAGCAGCGTTACCTTCTCGGGAAAAAAGAGCAATTAAAAGGGGTAACTGTCAGTGGGGGTCTTAATTGAGTGGCTGACTGATTGATTGATTGACCAGCTGACTGACTGCAGTTTAATTTGGTCAAATCGGAAGCCCCCGGGCTGACTACAGCCCGCAGTTATTAAAGCCGCAAAAATCCAGGCGATGTACAAACGTCATTGTTCGTCGCTTGGGCAACAAAAGGAGCACCACATGACCCCCAAAAAAATGAAGCCAGAGGCCGAAACCGAAAAATCCCACCCCTTTCGACCCACTTTTTGCCACCGGCCATGTCACATTTGTCTTCATTTTGTCGCTGGTGGTGCGAAAGCTGTGGGAAGCTGTGAAAGGCGTGGAACTGTGGTGCAGGAACTCACCTGGCAGAGTGGTGCACAGTATCCAGAGACTGGACTTGGTGTACTTGGTGATGTAGGCGCCATCGTCCAGGGCTTTGAAGTTCGCCGTCCCATTGTAGTTGGCATTGGGCAACTTCTCCTCGGTGAAGAGCCATTGGGGTCCGGCCAAAGCGGCGATGACAATGGCCACCGATATGCTGCAGAAAGCGAGTGAAGCGGAAATCAGACACTGGGCGAAATTCGAGTTAAGTGTTTACTTAATTTAAATAAAATATATGAATAGAACGAAAATTAATATATTTTAGGTAAAATCTAATAAACGATAACAACTTTAGTTAAATAATAATCAAAAAATAAATCAGTAATAAAATTATCAATTTCTAAATGTTAAATGCTCTTTAAAAATATAGGAAAATATTCGAAGATATTTTAAGAAATATTTAAAACAACATTTCGGCTAATAAAATGAACAAATATGAACTTTAATAAGTTTCGAATTAAGAAACAGTTTGAAATATATTTTTTTAAGTGCTGAAGAGGGAGAGAGGGCAGAGAAAGTTGCATTCTCTAAATCAAAATCGATGTGGGCGGCGTGATGGGGGTCGGAGGGAGTGTAATCAAGGGAAATGCCTATCCCAGGTTCTCCGGGCTCTCCAAAAATTGAGTGAGGCTGCTGATTAAAAAATACTTCAACCTGTTTTGTGGTTGGGGGATAGCCAAAAACGAGGCCAAAAATCTACAAAAACAAAAAAAAAAAGTTAATGTGCACGAGACATCCCAGTCAGCCAACCACCCACACACACACATACACTAGCACACAAACACCCACACACACACACACATCGGCAGTGATATGCAAATAAATGTCGCCACCCAAAAACGAGGAGCACAAATAAAATTGTTGGCGCTGAAAAATGTGCGAAAAAAGGCATTGGAAATGGGAAAAAGGTCAAAGGGTGGTGGGTATATTATTTTTTAGAGGGATCGTCACCTCGTCGCCCAGGTATATGCGAATATGTGAATATATTCATGAGTGCACTCGAACACCAATATTTGCCGAGTTCGTCAGAAGAGCAGAAATGGATTTTATGTGTTGTTATGCTACTCAATATTGTTTTAAAAAATTGCCAATTGATTTATGAGGCAAACATTGGGTCTCTCCACGGGACAAGCGTATAACTCCATTAGTTAATCGAATGAAGGAATATCAATTTTATGATTTGGGAAAATGTTATATTAACGAAGCCAACTTGGATCGGAATGGTTGTTATGGCTTGGCAAAGGATTCATTTTGAATTGCAGTTGGCCTTGTCAATTGCTAGGACTTACGTCAAAATTCGGGGTGCTGTTCAGTTTGATCCTCACTGTCGTTTCGTCGGACTGCCTTCTGGGCTTTTCGGTAACTTGTTAAATCTTAGGAACTTGGAAACTTGAAAACTTTAAAACTTGAAAACTTGAAAACTTAAAAAACAAATTAAAACATTTCCACGATGCGAAGCATGTTCTCCAACCGTTACGACAACAAACGACGTGATTACTATGAGCGCTACGAAGGTAAGTACTTTCGAAGTTAGGAGTAAATGTCCTTTATGGAAACTCAATCTACTTTTTTAGCAACTAGAAGGCAACATCCTAGTTTGCCTCTGTACGAGCGTCCAGTGGAACCAGCTGAGTTGCAGGTGTTCGAATCCGACTATCGTCCTCGCCATCTATCATATCGCAAATTTGCGAACCAAACGAGCAAGCAGATAAGTGATGACAGCTGGCTATCGAGTAATCGACTTCCCATTGTGGTACGCCGCGACATCGAGGAGAGGAACGACACACTCTTGATGCCCAAGTACGATCCTGGAACGGCCATTCATGAATTTAGCCATAATGGCAAGCCACGACGTGGTCGTCCTCCGGCCCCCGCCACCATGGCCAAATTAGCATCGGATTTCGCCGCCCAAGTCGGTGGCCGAGTCGGTAGCGAGTCGGAGGAGCAGGTGGAGGAGTTGGTGGTGGATGTAGATATTGATGTGGATATGGATACGGATACGGTGGAGAGCTCCAAGAAATCGGAAGACGACGAAATCATCGTCAATAAGATAAGTTCAAACATCAATCCCAACCAGAAAGCGACACAGAGCTCGCCGCCTTATCTAAATCAGAATGTTAACCAGAACTTTATACAAAACTTAACCACGAAAACAAATCCTGTTAAAAATTCGGCAAGTCCTAAGCAGACCGAGGATGAATGTCTTTCAGCCTATACAGACGATGAGGAGGAACAATTCCAAAACCCATTACTGTTGGCTCGGTATTCGCTACTTCGCTCTTTCTATTGCCCGATAGGAAGCTGCCAGAAAAACTTTGAGCTGCGGTGAGTTCACCAAACTAAAAAAGTTATTTATAACAGTTTTGCGGTAAGGCATATATCGTATATATGTATGGCCCCGCCCTCATTATATATACATACTTTTGATTAGGCTTTCTAGCTGAATCGGACCAGCCTTGTCCATCTGTTCGTCCGCCTGTCCGTTTGTCCGTATGGATGCGGAGATTAAATATTTGTCTTTTACCAATAGAACTTAACGAACTACCACACAAATCTTGAGTTCGACAATTACTACTTCTAATTATTAAAACTATTTAAGCTTTATTGATATTATTTAATTGCTCTTTCTCAGTTATTAAGTTAAGGATTTTAGGATAGAAGCTTATCTGACTTGTATATATCATCTATATCAGCTATCTATATGACTCTGTACAATCTCCCTTTAGCCGCGAATTGTACAAGCATCAGCGGGATACTGGTCACCACAACTGGTCATACAAGTGCGATAAGTGTGGCCAGATCTTCCGCACAGCTGGCTTCAAGCGCATGCACTCGAGCAAGGCCTGCGAACGCAAGCTGAGCAAGTTCAGTGCCACGAAGACGAACGAAGCTAAGAAACCAAAAAGAAAGCCAAGATGATGCCCTCCTCACTGTCACACAGTAAAAAAAAAACATGTTGTTATATTAAATATTATGTTAAAATGCAAGCAAATTATTAGTATTTTAAGTACTTGAGGTGATTAGTTAATAAAAATATTGATAAAAGAGAAAGTATGCGTAACTTCGTTAGATTTAAATGGGACAAATACAGATGCTTTTCACTGTGCACTTCGGTGCAAAATAGTTTGCGAACAAATTAAGCCCACTTTGCAGTGATTTGTGTCGCTAACACAATTATTTGTCAAGCAACAAGGATGAAGGAGGCGGCGCAAGGAGGTCTGCTTGTCCTGGTGTCCTGGTGTCCTGGTGGTTGCTCCTGTGACAAGGACGAGCTGCCATTTCCCAGTTGCGAAGCACGTGAAACCTGTTTCCTTACTTTCTTTAAAAATAAATGGAACTGGCGGAAATTGTGTGTTCGTCTTGTGCAGGAATTCAAGCTGCTGCTGGCTGGCATTCATTCTGTTTCGCCATCCTTTTAAAGGATTCGACTATTTAGTTCTTTCCCTACAGGAATTCCAAACATTTTCCTCTGCGAAAAATCTGACATTGAACCCTCAAAGCTGCCCTGTGAGAAATCACTCTGAAAAGCAGCTCACAAAGTCAGCCAAAGCGGAGCTCAATAAAAAACAACACCTGAAACTTGCCTGGAAAGTGAAGGAAGTATAAAAACTGGGACAAGCCTTTATAACTTTTTAACCATTTTGTAGATAAATGTTAAAATATTAAATAGGCACAGCCCGGGTTGAACATAAGGCTTATGCATAGCTACGGGAAAATAATAGTCTTTGGTAAATTTCAAAAATTAAACACCAATTTTTTAATTTCTTATAAATCTGATTTACCAATAAGCTGATATCGAGTTTGTTTCCTTTTTTTAGCTAAATTAAAAAGTCGTTTAAATCTTACTTACTCAAATTATAACCTTTAAATATGAATTCTTATTATAATAAAATTTAAAACCGTTTTTGGTAACTGAAATATATTTAAATAATATTCAAAATTAGATTGTTAAGCAATCTAAAATAGAAACAAAATATTACAACGCTGAAAAGGATATTCAAGATTTTCTTAATTTTGTACCTAATTTTATTGAAAAAACTGAAATATCTGAACATTTCTAATGTGAAACGTCATAAATATTTTAATCACAGTTTAAGACAATTTTTAAATAAATTGATAGAAATTTAAAAAAAAAATACAAAAATTCTTAAATTAAACGGCGTTCTTTATAATCATTTTTCTATTAACAGAAATCTGTAATGCAAACTAATAATATTAAATTAAAAACTTAAAAGCCAAGTAAAAGAAAAAGGAAGTCGAAAATTAATGAAATATTTGAATTAATTTTTTAAAGAATTTTTTATTTATTTATCTTGATAATTATTTAAAAAGTCTCTGTTAAATTAGTGCAAAATGAAAAATGTTTTTCTACATTTCATATTCGACTATATATTCGTCTGATCCTTTACTAACCTGGCTGCAACAGGTGTGAGAAGCCACAGGTAGCCCCCCTGGACGGCGGTCATGTTGCTGATGCCAGCCTGTGGATCGGGTGCTGCACCAGCAACACCGCTGTTCAGACGATGTTGCTGCTGTCTGTGGCCATGCTGCTGCGGTGCTTGCTGCTGTTGCTGCTGTTGCTGTTGCACGTCTTTGGCTGGCTGATGGCGACTCAAAGAGGCCACTTGTCGCTGCTGCTGATGTTGTTGCTGCTGTCGACGGTTGTTGCTGTTGTTGTTGCCCCTGTTGATGCTGTTGCTGTTGTGATTGCTGATGTTGCTGATGTTGTTCAGCTGCAGATCACTGAAGCTGCCAGCCAGAGAACTAAGCCCCGTGGCCGGAATACTGCCACTGATCGTGTTGATCACTCCAGTTTGCAGATGTTGCTGCGGTGCAAAGCGCAGACCCCGCGGCAATGTTGCATACGGCGAGTGTTGCTGCTGCTGCTGGTGGTGGACCATTTGTTGCTGCTGCTGTTGCGACGGATGACTGTGCTCGATGGACGCACTGGTGGTCAACTGGTGGATGGCCAGAGGCTGTCTTTCGACGGTGTTGCAGTTGACATTCGCTGGGCGGATGTTGTTGTAGGGATTCTCGGTGTTGATGCTGTGCGTGGAGGCCACGCGAAACACATTGGGCACTGAAGGATAATCCCTCATTTTAAATTTCCACAAACTCTGCACCGAACCAAATCCGAAACCCAAAAAAAAAGAACAAACAAAACTAAAATAAATTCAACACTTTGAAAGCGCGCCAAAAAAAAAGGTTTTGTTCTAATTTTCTGGCTGGCACGTCCGTTGCGCTGAAGAACTTTTACTCGACTAAAGGGAAGCTGTGGTCCTGGCCAAAGGACTCGACTCGGCCATGTAAAGCGACCGAACCGAAACGAGTGACTTCGGCTGCTCCGGATGATGATGATGTTGCTGCCGTGCTTATGATGTTGCTACTGCTGCTGCTACTGCTGCTGCTGCTGCTGCTGCTCACTGGCGATTATAAAACACAGCAGCTATATTTTATCTACGCTTTTGATGGTCTCCATCCAACAGCAGTCCACGCCTGATGGCCATCGCCAATCCTTGATTCGTCGCTTCCTCGGCAGACCTAAATATAGCGGCTGTGACCAATGGAAAATTAACTTTTACATTTGCACAGCCAGAAAATCACAGGGATCTCGGATTTCAGCCAGAGATTGTGCGGTTCCTATCAATTATTCTGAATACGAAAATGACGAGCAGCCTATGCCCAAAGCGAGTGCACTGAGATCAAATTCCCAGTGCTTCCGTCTTTATTCAAACTAAATGGATCATAAATTTGAAGTATCACTGAAACTTTTGAGTCAGGGAATCTAAAACAAGTTAAATTTCAATCTTAAAAAGCTTTTTCTGGTCACTTAAGTGTTAAAAAACCTCTTTTAATTAATTGAATTATTTTTGAATAATTTATTTAATAATATTCTCATAGCAGACTATGTAATTGCATCAAAAACTGAATATACTCTCTCTGATTTCTCTCTGTGTAGCCCAACGGCGAGCAGGAGTAGCAATAACAACAACCAGCAGACGTTTGCAACTTCCGTTGTTAGCTAAAAGTGACTTCCGGTCGCTTGGGGATCCCCACTGTCTGTCTGTCGGTGTGCGTGCCAGCGTATGTGTGGATATGGGATATAGGATATGGGATATAGCTATCCAAGCTGTTGTTGTTGCTGCACTTGCCTGCAAAACTAAGCATTTATTGCAGCCCCAGCTCGTTTCGCTGCAGCTCTCTCGTTTATTTAATTGAATTCCCACATGTGATTGAGGTAAGTTCGTGCCATGATTGTGCCACATTAAAAGGGTACTGCCAACAATGCCTGACTCCTGGTCCTGCCCCCTTCCCCTTCCTCTTGTACCGCCCACCACATGAACGCCCACCGAAAATGCTAAGACCACTTCCACATTTCCAGACTCCTTTTTGCTTAGAGCACCTTGTTAAGTGCACCTTGTGGAAGTGTGGAATTGCTGAGTGCAGGCACAAGAGCAGTCCAGAACAAAAGCTGAAGATTAAGCGGCTAAGTCGACACTGAAAGAAAAGGGTGTGGCCTTGGAAGTCCTAGTTCCTTGTGGTTTATTAATGAATATTGGGTGCTATATCTTAGGGTATACATTAAATATTAAAAAATATCTTTCAGTGCACTTCTTACTGCTTGCTTCTGGCAGTCAACTATATCGCATATAGAGACAGGGCTACGAGTTGGGATATTTCATCAAAATTGGATTGAGCAATAGTGAAAAGTATGCATATGGGAGCCACGTGTAATCTGGCAAATGGAAAACAAAAGCTGCCGATTATTGCTGGCCAAAGACGTTCTTTATTTTGGACAAAAAGCCCAAAAGCCAAGGACACAGGCAATTAAGCCAACTGCCAGGTACTCCGACCGAAACGCATGATATAGATTTGAAAGACAAGAAGCGGGAAATTCTCAGCAATTTCACAGGCAAAAGGGAGTTTCCTGGAAATGCAATAAAAGAAAGCCTTTCTCTGGCAAGAGATTCTCTCATTGTTAGACCTTGACTTGGGAGTGGCCAAGATATATAGTTTCCGGTTAACTGGATAAGCAACTCCTATTTGGGCATTTCAATGGCGATTAATGTAATTAGTTTACTTGGTAAGCCCAGGAAATAGTGGTTAAAAAAAAGGAAAACGGAAAACGAAAAACTTTAATTAAATGAAATACTATTTGCCAGGCGCAAATAGCCTCAAGTATTTGCTCACCATTTTGTTTGGCAAGCAAACAAATTAATTAAAATCTTAATTAAATCTCGTTCGCGCTGCCAGCAAAGATGTGCTAATTTAATGCCAACAAGTTGTTGGCCGCGCCTTTAATTTGCCATAGAATTAAGGCCTCTGCCCCTCTGCCCCCTCTCTCTCTATTTCAGCATTTAAATACACGGAGCAGAGTTTACAACTTTCGCAAAAGTTTTCCTCTAAATGCGCTGCAAATGTTGGCAACACTTTTCTCGTTTTCTTTTATTTCCCCCCATTTTCTCTCTTTTTTTTCAGAGCGGACTAACAAAATGTTCGTTTTTTGTTTGTGTTGTGCCTTTTGGCAGTTTACTTTGCCTTTTTTCTAGTTTATTTTCTTTTTTTAAATATTTTTTTTTTGTTATTTTTGAGTAGCATTTTGTTGCTGTTGCAACTGTCAAATGTTTGCCAATGCACACAGACACAGACGCGTCCATGTTGTTAGTGTAGTTGCGACATGTAAATGTGTGACTGTGTGCATTTAACGGGGTATGTGTGTCACAGTGTGTATGTGCATGTGTGTGTGTGTGTGTGTGAGTGGGTTGCTAATTTTATTCTGTTGTATGCGTGTACATGGCTGATGTCTCTCTTAATTTTCGCCCGCATTTTCCAGCACTTTTCCATGGCTAACTTTCATATAAAAAAACGTTTAAAGACCAGCGAAATTTGTTTAAAAAAAACTTACAATTTTTACAAAGTTTCTTCATTTAGCGAGTTTATTTCAAAACAAAAAAATAATGTTTTCTCACAGTTAGTTTTACGTTTATTTTCAGAAGGTAACATTTTTATAACACCAACTAATTGGGTTAAATTAAAGGGATATTTGTTAAGAAAATATATATATTACATTTTTTAAAAGTTTATTTTATGTTAGTTTATTTGAAAAAAAAACAACTATTCTATAACAAGCTTATGGTTAAAATTAAGGTATATCTTAAGAGAAAATTGTAATTTTATTAAATTATATAAACAGAAACATTTTCTTAACAGGCTGCTACTAATGGATATTTTTTTAACAATTTTTTTAATTTAACAATTTTACAAAGTTTTATTTTTGTCAGTTTATTTCCAAACAAAAAAAATTATTTTAAAACAAGCTTGTGGTGGGATACTTCTTCCAAAAAAATGCAAAATATTGTAAAAAGTTTCAGTTTTGCCAGTTTATTTCCGAACAAAAAACTGCTTTTTGTTACCAGCTTAGGCCTAAAATAAAATTATAAAAATATTATATCTGTTAAAAATAAATTAAAATTTGTATAAAGTTTCAGTTTTGTGAGTTTTAACCAAACAAAATATCATTAAAAAAAACGTAAAATTTGTATAATGTTGCCTTTCTGTCGGTTAGTTGGTTGTTTTATTCTAAAAAAAGAATAATAAATATAATAAAGGTAATTTAATCTAACTAAAGAGGGATATTTGTTTAAATTTACATTTTTAAAAGTTTATTTTTTAGTCAGCTTACTCCCAATAAAAATAGTTTATTTAATAACACGATTATTCCTCAAATAAGTTCATTAAAAAAACCTACAATTTGTATAAAGTTTCCCTTTCAGTTAGTTTTTTATTTATTTCCAAACAGAAACTTTTTTGCCACAGCTTAAATGGTTGTTTGTTAAAAAAAAGTTAAAAGATAACATTTTTATAACATTTTTTGTGTTTCAAAACAAGAATCTTTATTTTATAACAAACTTATGCTTAAAAAACATTTTTTGTTGGAAAAATATTGGAAGTTTTAACCACGTTTCATTTTTCTAGTTTTTATCGAAATATTAAAAATATTGCATAACAAGTTTAGGCTTTAAATAAATCTATTTGTTAAATATTAAATGTCAGTTAGTTTGTCTTTTTTTCACAAACAGAAATAATTTTTACACCACCTTAAGCTTAAAATAAACAGATATTTAATTAGCAAAAAGAAACTTAAAACTAAACATAAAAAGATTTACTTTTGTTTTAATAATATAGCTGATGTGCTCATAAAATCTAGTTTTTTAAGCAACTTAATCGTCGCCGGTTAATTAACGCATTAATTATTTAATTACAAATACGAGTATATCTACCAGTTTTAAGCCACTTAAATATATTTTTTGGTTGATTTTGAAAAGGGCAATAGACCATTAATAATTTAATTTCAAGACTAGTGGCTGCTTTTAAGCTGCTTAATGGCTGTAATGGCAAGCCAAATTGCTGTTTAAATATTTTATATATATTTTAAATTTCATAATTCAAAAACCATAACAGCTGTTAGAAATAAGATCTAAAAGCAAAAACAATTGGTGCTGTTAAGCTACTTAAAGGGCCACCGAATGTAGCAGCTGCAATGCAAGAAATTGCTGCTAATTTGTTAATATTTCTAAGGCAATTTGTTACTAGAAACTGTTAGAACTTAACAAATTCTTATAAACATGAGTATATCTCGTAATAGTTTTTGCATTTACAAAGTAACTCGTCTTGCAGCTGCAATGTGACCTATTATTGCTGGTGTTGCTGTGGCAACAGGCCCGTGTTGTTGCTAGTTGCAAGTTGAGCGGCTCAGTTTCTGGCCACCCCTTTCTGCGGTCGCCTTTTGTCATTCGACCAAAGACATTGTTTGCGAAAGTAGACCTCCAAATCCTATTTTGGCAACGACATCGGCAACACCAACACCAACACCAACAGCAACATCTGACAAGGCCAAGGGAAAACTTTGTGCACTCCAGTATTTACTTTCACAACAGGACGGGGTTTTCATTTTGTCCAGGCATAAGTTTTATATTGATGCTTTAAAGTTGTCCGCTTTTTGGACATTTTTCCGACACTTTGTCAGCTTCAATTTGGTCCGGGATAAGCATGGCCGTTTCTGCTGCTGCCGTTTTCGAATTATTGATTAAATTCACAA